GACAGACGGACAGACGGACAGACGGACATGGCTATATCAACTCAGGAGGTGATCCTGATCAAGAATATATATACTTTATAGGGTCGGAGATGTCTCCTTCACTGCGTTGCACACTTTTGACCAAAATTATAATAATATTATGTTATATCCCACTTGCAATACAGTTTTAACAAAGTGAAAGATAACTTACTATTTTTAGAAATATTACCCTTATGATCTAACAAAACAATGGTATGTCAACCATGGTGCAATACACCCTGTAATCGGCAACAATTGCTGCATGTGCAACTGTTGCTGCTGCAGCATCTTTTTTAATAAAGCGCGTAATCGTAAGAACCCTAATGATACGATTTTTGCAGCAATGTGATGATTAAATGTTGCAACCGCCGCGGGCGCTGCCCCTGCCCACCTGGCCACCCCCTGCGATCGCCGGCCCATCTTCATCTTTTCAGATGGCAATCGTAAAGGCCTTGGAGATAAAACTCTGGGACTGGGACTGGAACTGAAACTGGGAATGGGCCTGAGCCTGAGACTGTGTCCAAGACGCAGCTTAATTAGCGTAGAAAAGGGCGCAGCCAAAGACATGCATCAAACGACTGCAACAACAACAACATTGCGATGAGGAGGTGGAGCTGCAGCAGGTTTTAGTGATCTGTCATTGCCGGCAAGAGCAACAACAGCAACAACTAAAAATAGTTGCACACGTGCATGAATTTCGGACTATTAGACGTAATAGCTGAATGCATCATAATTTACCTTGACATTTAGACCAATGTCTGCGCATGCCAAAGTTAATTGCCAACGAGCAACATGCAACAGCAACGGCAGCAGCAGCAGCAACAGCAACAGCATAACAACGACAACAGCAACAGCAACAGCATAACAACGACAACAGCAACAGCAACAGCAACAGCAACATCCACATCAACAACTATGCAAATGGTTTGCTTACACGCCTGCATTTTGATTAGGTTAACTATTTATAGCCATGCGATGCGGCATCAACGCCGGCAACATTCCTGCCACATTTCCACCATCGGATGAGTCACAGCAGAAGCAACACTTGGGGATAATCATATTGATATGCTTAATTAGCTGGAACAGCGACCACTGGCTGGCTGTTTCTGATAATCTTCTTGCACTGGGCAAACAGGTGCCACCTGAAGGTCAGCAACTTTTCAATGCACGGCACAAAAAATTGCCGGTTGCTAGTGGCTGGCTCACTTCTGGCCGCGATACTACTTTGATTTCGGCGTGCGGAGCATTTAAAGCTTTAATTGGCGCCCGAAAATCGCTAAAAAATTCTGACAAAGCACACAAGATTCTGCGTCTTTTTTGTTTGGGCTGCCAAGAAGGCAGTTTAGCAAATTAAAACGAAAATGAAAACTGAACGCATGCGCCAAAGTCACCGACGCACCATTCAAGGCAGCCGCTGGGCAAATGTTTTTGGTTTTCGGTTTTGGTTTAGGTTTCGTTCGAACTGGTCCGCTCCGTCTTGGGCCCGAAACTCCGACTCCAACTCCGACTGCGTCTTGGTTTCGGCCAGGCCAACTTGGCAACCTTTAAAAGAATGCGGACTTGCCAGTAGTAGACACACTCACTCGCACACACACTGGGCCATGTAGGCGCACGGTAGATAGGCCACATCGAAAATATATGTACGTGTGCTCCTATATGTAAGGCATGCACAGAAAAAATAACTCAAAAAGTTTGTGGCAACAAAAGGTAACAACTCTTGTGTTGCCCGGTGAAAAAGGCACCAAGTGGGGTGTTTATATAGTTCATGAAATACTGGGTAAGGTTGCTTTTAAACGTTTACGGAAATTAAATATACTTAAATTATTATTATTATTAAAGTATCTGAAACTATTAAAATCATGTTTGCTTCTGAATCTGGATCTTGTTGAAAATGCTTTTTTTAAATACCAATCCGAAATATAGATAGAATTTTGTTTATCTGAAAGCGATTTATCAAAAACAATACCGCTTCGGTACTTTAAAGTTGTTTTTAAATTCAACAAATTGTGAGAAATTAATACTTATTATTTGTTTTTCTTAAAACATTTTAAAATGTTGATTAAAAGATACTAAGCTTCAAAACAAGAAGATGTAGCTAATCAATATATTTAATTTTGATCTGAGTGATTGAGTAAATTTCTTCGGAGATATTTTAATATTACTAAACATTTTACAAACAAATATTTATCAATAAAAATAAGTTTTCGCAATCAGGACCCCAAAATACATTTGAAACATCACCTTGAACGGAAATGAACTTAACAAAAGTTCACCCAGATTAAGCAACCACTACACTCCCGATTAATTTTTATGGAAACCCATGGAGCAAATCCATTGCCTCAATTGTTGGCGGGATCATTTGAATCAGTGTGCGTTGGAGTGTGTGTGTGTGTGCTGCCAGTTGCAGTTGCCACATGCCGCATGCCACAGCTGTGGCAGCCCGGCTTGTTTACAGGAATTTTACAACTATGCAGTGGCAGCCGGCTCCGCCAGCGGAGTGGGCTAAAAGGATGAGGAGAAAATGTTGTTATTACTTATTAAGAAAAAAATAAACAGACGGAGCAGGGGGCAAAGTAAAATAAAATAAGTGCAAAAACGCCATCGGCTTAGCCTTGTCCTTGTCCGACTGAAAGACAGTTTAAAAAATAGTTTAGCAATCGTCAGTCCCGCGGACAGAGAGTCACGTTCTCGCTGCCCACTCCTTGGATCCCGATCCGATGCCAATACCACTCCATCTAGTCCACATCATCGTCATGCGGTAATGAGCCAAGTGAGGTTCTTGGAATTGCGCCAGCGGCGCGTCCTTGAAACTGGTTTCGCCCCATAAACAAGACGGCCATTTGCCTGGATATCGGACTCCATAATGCGGCTAGAAACTATGACTCGGACCCCGGCTGTGCATCCGACTCCGACTACGATTCTCAAAACCGAAACCGATTCCATCTTCTGGCCATTAAAATTATGCACTATTAATTAGACAACACACAGGAAATTTACGGCAATGACCTCTCACAGACCAATTACGACAACATATTGTTCAGTTCTAAACCGCAGACCGATGCTTAAAAGCGTCTATAAAAATCAGCAAGACAAGGCTCAAAGCTTCTGATAAAATTAGCAAAATTATTGCTGAACAGTAGCCGGAGGAACTGGCGCTGGCGCATACTTTAAACGGCGGAGAGGGGATATTTTTAGGGGGGATATACACATATAGACGGGGGTCATCATCAAGTGGAAGAAGCTAAAGAAGCGCCGGAGGAAAGGCAGAATCATTTGATTCAGCCAACTCGCAGTGACAGTGGATTTAAGTATGATTAGGCGGTATTAAAATTGAATTCACCAAACCAATCATTACTTTTCAATATTAGAAATTCGATTATTTATTAAATAAATTGTCTAGTATAATATTTTTTTTTTTTTGAAAAGGCTATAAATTTACTAAAAGGTATCCATATTTATGGACTTTACAAACTATTTAATTGTAGTGCAAATATAAGCCAAAATTAAAAAATTAATTAAAATTAAATCTGAAAGATACGGTTCTTATAATTAATTTAATTTAAAACTTTTCAAGCAGGAAGCAATTAATTTTTATAAGGTATCTAACTTGCTTACACGCCCACCATTTGCAAAACGTCTGTAGTAATTATGCTATTGAGCACTTATCGTTAATGGCCATGCAATTATAGTTTATAGTGCTTTGATACCACTGTGCATTTAAAGGAACTACACACAAAAAAAATATATATATAGAAGTGCTGAGAACACATTTGTCAATTTGACAAGTTTGGATTTAAATTGGAAACTGAATATATATTATGTAATACTATAAACCTTAATAATTTATATGGATTATATGGTCATTAACGTCAGATAGATAATTTATCTTACCAACAGATGGCACCACATCTTTAGTTACTTGTCGCGCTAATAGAATCTGTGTATTTATTTTTCGACCTGAATACTGGTGTTTTAACCACATTTAAAAGAATCTAAGATGTTTTTCTGTGTACAAAATGCGTCCGCTGCCGATGCACACGCAAATGTCACATCAATTAGCAGCACCGAGGGCCTTAAGATGCGCCGATTGCAGCTGGCTAACTTAGCTAACTTGGCTAACTCCGGCTAGCTGGGTAGCAGGCCCGTAAAACATCAAATTAACTTTGACTATGTTGGCTAATTTGAAAAGTAAAAGGCAGTTGGTTGAATTGGCCATCTCCAGTTGTGGTTGCTTTGCGGTTGAGTGGTTCAATGCCCGCCCGGCCACCCACTCGACAGCTGTTTGCTGACCTTCGTCGCCAGGCGTTGGCTTTCCTTGATTTCCACACTAATCGGCAGAAAAAATGTTGAGCAAATATTGTCATAACAGCAGTGGGTAAAAACAAAAGCGACGGCGACTGATCAAATATTATATAAACTACACACATGTATGTACATATGTACATAATGTTTTCGGTTATTTTTATTGCTGTCTGATAATCACCTTTAATGAGTTTATTGAACCGATAAGGGGACAGATCCATTAGCGCACGGGGAAGTGCCACCCAGCTGATAAGCCGGTGATACGCGCGGGAAGTTGGGGCATTTATTTATAGACAATAAACTACTCTATAAATAAGCAGCCAAGCTGTGAATTCATCATAGCCGCTCTGTAAATAACCCCATTGAGCTGTGAATTAATCATCGTCTTGGAACTGTTATCTGGAGCATTCCAATAATATCAAAGCCAAGAAAGTAGGAAATCGATAGTTATTCATTGGCCATGCCAATTTGTTAAAGTTGCTGTGGCAGCAGCAGCACCAGCAACACTTCAAAATTTGCTGCAATTTGCGTTAATTATACGCTCCGTTGGACGAAAAAAGCAACAGCAGCGAACAAATAGGGAATGTAGATGGAGATTGCCGACAAATTTGGGCCAAAAAGAGCTCTACTTTAATTTCGCTTTTCCCGATAATTAACCCACAATTTTCTTCCAATTGCAGAAACAACAGAAACAGCAACATAGTATGCGTCTCTTCAAAACGCGCAAATCCACCGACACCTACAGCACACTAGCCGCTCAGCAACAACAGCAGCAACAGCAAGCCGACAGCAGCAGCAGCAACAACATTTGCCAGGGAAGCAGCAACAATAAAAGTCACACGCCAGCAACATGCAGCAACCGACTAAACAAGAGCGTTGCGAGCAGCACCACAATATCCTCATCGCTGCCTGATCTGCATGACCAGTCGCCCGTCATGATCCTCAGCTGCACCACCCTGACCAGCAATGGAGCCACCGCCACGGCGGCAGTCACAGCAACAAGCACCGGCACATCAGCAACATCTGCCGGCGGTCTGCAACAGCAACACCAGCAGCAGCCGTTACGCACGGCCACGCCCACTTGTCTACTAAGTGGACGGCAGACACCATCGGCCATATCGGTAATGTCGCTGCAAGAGGCCACCAGTCTGCACCGACAACAGCAGCAGCAGCAACAGCAGCAACATCAGCCACCCACCATCTATGTGCCCGTGCCCACGAAACTTGGCGGCAATGTCAACACCGGCAGCAATTCGGCAAAATTGCTGCTGAGCTATGGCAGCACCAACAGCATTGCCACCATGCAGCAACACCAGCAGCAGCAGCATGCTGCCCAGTACCAGCAATACGTCGCCCAGCGTCTGCATGCCGCTTCCAGTAGTTGCTTGTACGAGAAGGGGGCGAACGCCGGCGGAGGGGCGGGCAGCAACAAGAGCAGTCGATCCCTGACCCCGAATGGTGAGTAACAGTATACACTTAAAAAAATTACCTTTGAATTTTCGCCTTTGTTTAAGGAACAGTACAATTGTACATAGGAAATAAATTATTATTTTTTTAAAAGCTATTTTTTTAATTATTAAAAAATATTCTCACCAATACACGAGTAAAAACTTTAATTTTGATTACCAATTTTAGTAATTAACAATTAATTTAGACAATAACACTGGTAAAAAGCTGCAATCATTAATTTGCCAATGACAACGGCTTTCCATTTTTGACGCTTCGGAGTCTTCTTCAAAGAAACTCAAACCATTTAGCACACAAAAATGTCTAGTCTTATTGTTAAGGACATTTATCAAGCCAAATAAACCTTCATGTGATAACGTACTAATGAAAAAAGAACTCTTTTCATCACAAAAATTCACTAGTCTTAACCAGTGACCCTCGCTTTCCTTAACCACCCACATGCTACAGTTGCTATTGGCGCCCAATTCCAGTTGGTTTTTGGCTGCCACATACAACATCTCCTTTTTGTGTTGCAGGCATATCGTCCGACTTTTTAATAGAATCCTCAAAGATCTTGGCAAACTCTGCCACATGTTTTGGAGATCAGTATTCCACAGTTTTGGTTGATTTCTCTGGAGTTTCACCAGTTCTAGGGCAAAATTCGAAAGAAGATTCCCATTTAAAAGCTGAGATCGTCTAAGGTACCAATAGAAGCTCATCCAAAGCTTCAGCTTGAAGGAATTTCCGGGCTTAAGTTGGTGTTGCAGCTCCAGTGATGGTTTTCCTTCCTTCAGCAAATCCGACCAGGGAATATTCCATGCCACTCGCTGCTGCTGTTTATTTTCTAGTGTTAAACTAATTTCCTTAGTCCAATTATCCAAGCCCAAATGACTTCCGTTTAGGTGAATAACCACAATTTCAATCAGGGGTCCGTAAATATCGCCTTTAATCGCAGCTTGAACTGGGCTTAAGAACGTACTTAATCCGAGTAATAAAATGACTGGGATGTGGACAACCATAGCGATGGAAAATCTTAATTATACTGATCTATAAATGCCATACTTGTTCAGATTTTACTTTCACTGTGGGACTTCCTGGAGTCTCGCCCTTATCGCTGGCTCTTTTGATAATCCCTCCGAATTACGAGAGCCAATGGCCTGCTTTTCATTTCCTTAAACAAAACTGAGACCCACTCTTGTTTCCACAGGTCACCTGCCCGACTACAAATTGGTGACAGCGGTGCCAGTTGTTGTCCTGGACGATGAACACAAATCGAATTCATTGCCATCCAACGAACTGAGTCGCAGCAGCATCAGCAACAGCAACATCAACATCAACAGCAGCAACAGCAACAGCCTTGACGTCAGCAACAGCAACTCGAACACTGGAAGCTCCACATCTTTGGCCAGCACCACGAGAAATGGTAAGTACCATGGCCAGAAATAGAACCCAAATCCGGGAAAATGCGTGGAAATTGATTTTCCCATCAAGTGGCGGCGCCTCGAGTGTTTCTTTTTCCCCAGAGTGTATTTTATTTTCGTGCAGATTGGGAGGGGCAAATGAATACATAAATTATAGGCCGGCTGAGAGTGTGTTGTCAGCCAGGTATTAAGAGCTCAATTTAGAGCACATTTTAATTGAAACAATCAATTTCCGAAGCTAAACATAGGAAGCAGCACTCCCAGTGCTTCCGTGTTTAGCGGAGGGTAAATCAGCGCCAATCAGTTGGCAATTGTCATCGATACGATGCGTGTGTTGCCGTATGGCACACACTCCCAAATACCGTATTGACCCGATTTCGCCGCTGTAATGCGATGCGATGTCTGCAACTGGAATTTGTATTGTTTTCAGCTCGGCACGAGTTGCAAGTAATGTGGTCTCGTTTTCGAGGAGGAGCCTACCTCACAAGCCGATACTACATGTTAAAAAATATCTAGCAAATACTTAATAATGTTCTAAACACAATATTTTTAAATAAACGGGTTCTGCATATGCTACGTTTTAGCATTTTAAGGTGGGGCATCCTAATTCCTTTAAAGAATGATTAGAAGCCATAATAAAACTTTTGATATCGTATCACATACAAAAATAATAGAAGATTCAGACACTTAATACTTTAATTTATAGTTATAATAAGTTCTTAGAATTACTATATTTCGTTTTTTTCCAGAATGTTGGTAAACATTTTTTGGTAGAATATTTTAACAGGAGAAAATTATTACTATTACGCCAAAAATTCAATACTTTTCTCAGTGTAATATAGCTCCCAGACAGCAGCCGACGAAGTGTGACAAAGCCGGGCATTATGTGCCATTCAGTGCAGTTCAGTTCAGTTCACTTTACTTTGGTTGAGTTCAGTTTAGTTTCAATGATTCGCACAAAGAGTTTTTTATTTAATTTTGCCGGTTATGTGATATGTGATTGAGGTTTTGCGTTATATAGATGGGTGGAGTTGTAAAAAAATAGATATGGGTATTAGAGCAGCTAGTTAGGTAAGCTAAGAAATGAGGGCAGGAAGTGGCTGATGAAGTGATTGGGAGACCGAAATGGAAAAGCCAATAAAATATGGGAAAAAAAATGAGCACCGAAAGAAAGCAAGAACCATCTATCTATACTATCTGCAACATTTTCCGATTTTCACTTTTCCACCGCTGTTCTGACGACCGCAGAGCGTCATTATGAGCCGAGTTATAGCAAACGGCAATTCAAATAATGTTTTCTACCCCTCTTCGGCAACCGCAAAACGTTTGATGATTGCATTCTAAGATGCCGGCCGACAAAAGCGGCCAAACAGCTGCAAGTTGGGGCCAGAAGATATGGCAGGTTTTATCAGGTGCCGCTCGAATCTGCAGCTGTTGCTCAGCGAGATTCATTCATCTTGGGGCTGAAGCCACTCCAAAGCCATCGCCATCGCCATCACCATCGCCATTGCATGCCAAAGTCGCATTCTAAGTTCGTTGAGCTTTTGCCGCCTCTAATGCCGGACTTAATTGGCGTTAATTAAAGTTTTGCCAAGTGTGCCGCCGGCCCAAGGTCAATTAAAGTGTATAAAAAAAAACGTTTTGGCTAAATAAACATTTATATTTGAGCAATTGTAAACTGCTTTCATCGAAAGCAAAGGAAAAAGCTGCGAGAAAAGATGAGAAATCAATAAACGCCAATACATAAATGCTATAATTTTGCGATCTAGTTGATGTTCGCGAGGATGGTTTAAGCTCCTTCCCATTTCTGTTTTGTTTTTGCTGGCGCTGCACGCATGCGCATTTATTGTGGATTATCGCTTATTACATGTTCCCCCTGACTTGATTTCAAAACCGATTATCGATCTCTCATTGCCCGCCGACTCCATTCCGTTATGGCCAAGTCTTCCGAGAGGAATTCTCCGCGAGCAATTCGCATTGGTACGTGATATTTTTTGCATGCCATGTGCATTTGGATTCTGCCCGATTCCCAAACTGATTTCGATTCTGATGATGGTGTTGATGTCGATTCCATTTGATCTGAAAGTGGCACAAAGCCGCGACTTTTGCGTACACATTTGCATAAAGTATACTTAAGTATTCCGCCTTTCCCATGGCTTTTTTATGCTATCCCATCGTTGGACTAATACATTGAAATTGAAAAGAAAATGAATTTGCTAAAAATTTGGTAAACTTAAGTTTCGGGTTGTTGATCAAAACGCTGGGAAATAATGACCAAATAAATAAAGACCGAGGTACAGTACATCCTGGCACATCGCTACTAATATATAATATAAATGTTTCGGGTTCTGCTTCTACAGAGATCTTAGGCATTTTCAGATTGGGCATTTTTTCATCGGTTTTGGCCTATCTGTCCCGACAAAAACTAAAGTTGTTCAAGCTTAACATATAACTAAATTTTAATACTTTTATCTGCGCATAGCACTAGTACTAGGAGATTGGCCTATTCAAATCCCCCATCCTGTTTCTGAAGGTTTCGAGGTGAATTTAGCTAGTTTGTCTTGCCAGACTCTTGTTTGAATCGAACTTAGACGAAATTGCGGTCGGAATTAAATTGTTTGGCCAAAAAATTAAGGAGCTTCAATTTCAATTGCTGGAGCTCTCCAGATTGCCGCCCGAAAGAGAAAACTTTCGGAAATGATTTGGCTATTTCTAATTGTCAGACGAGGGCAAAAAAAAGGAACGAAAAGTCAACCTACTATTATTTTTCAGGGCTGAAAGTCCAAATTTCTTTACGATTCGTGTGACAACAGACCCTGTAAGGACTTGCCAATTTAACAAAATTAATTTGCTATTATGTTGAATTTCTCACAAATTACGGAAATCGGTCCTAAGAACCGATACCGATACTTAGTGTTTTAATGGCCTAGAAAGCCAAGCTACGTGAGTTATAATATTGTTTTGTTTTAACTGTAACAAATATAAATGTTGTATCTAGAAAATATAATAAACATTGTTACGCACTGGCTCTCTTTTCTGCTTTATCTGATCTGTCTTCCATACCGATATTACTACCTCTAGTGTCCTTCGCCTAAGCCTAATTCTAGATTTGTTATCGGACATCGAACTTATGTCCCTCCTTATGCTAATATTTCATTATGAAGAGATAGATAAAAACTTTATTTGAATATATAGATAAACAGGGTTATAGGAGCGAAACTTAAATGGAATTTGTATAAGTTGCACATTTCCTTAGCAATTATTAATTACGATTTATAAACAGATTTTTTTATGGTCTTTTTTATATTTTTGCTGTCGATTTTCTGATGCATTACAAACGAGATTGAAATAATGTTAAGTGTTACGATTTAATGTTCAAAAGTGGATTATAACATTGTTAATTCAACTTATATAAAGTAAATATTTATTCATTTTAAAAAATATTAAATTATGATGGAAATTAGCAGAGATTTCTGTGATGCAATGAACTGTTCTTGGACTATTCCATCCTCTGGCAACTCTGGAAAACTCCACTTCATCCTTCGCCAACCCCTGTTCCTCCTCCCCTGCACCACTTCAGATGTTCAGTTCTAAGATTCAGTTCCAGCTCTCTGGGTCTCAAATGGTTTCGCCTCAACATCGCTTGCATGTCAGCCGGCAAAATTGCAACAAAGCCATCTCCGACCAGCGACTTTTGGGGGGAGAATGGGGGGAAACGGGCCTCTTCGGCTGGCGGGCATTTGACACCGTCTTGAAAGTTAAGTGGGTGTAGAATTTGTGGCATGTGGCCGGCGGTGACTGCAGATGGAGATGGAGATGGGGACCGGGACAGGGAGCGGGACCGGGAAGGTGGGAGACCGGGAGAGTCTTTTGGAGTGTGGCTGAGGTTGTCATATAATTGATGCCCGCGCGCCGTTTCCTATTATTGTTTAACACTCTGCTGCAGCTCCTCCTCCCATCCTGTCCCCCATTTCCTTTGCTCGTGTGATTGCAATGGTGAAAACTTTAATCAAAGGCGAACTCGGTCAGGCCTTGGGTGGAGTTTCGCCGTTTGGAGAGGCTGTCAACCTGCATTGGCTCTGGATCTGGCCACCCCCCAACGCCTCCTGATCATCGTCATCATCATCATCATCGTCCCCATCCCCATCCGCATCCGCATCCCAGCTTCCAAGCCACTGCGCCCACACATGGCCTGAGCCAGGGCAATTTGAACGGACCAAAGCCCGCGGCTGGGCTGCGGCTATTAAACAACTTTGGCACGAGTCAGCGAAAGAAGCTGGAAAATGGCAGAGATGGCTCACACCATCCCCAGTGATCACTGGTCCGAGGCAGTGACTCAACGGGATGAAATGGGATAAAATCTTCTAAAAGGGATTTTTCTACATTTCATTACAATGTTTTCTATTACTTCTGTAAAGGTACTCCAAGTCACATTTGGTTATAATGAAATACCCGTCAGAAGTAAGTAATAAATATTGACTTAGCCAAAATTCAAAGCTATCAGACAACAAATCCATTTTAAAGAAATATAACAATTTCAAGACAATTTGAATTTTAAACTTTTGCCTTTCCTATCCAGATAGAGCTGTTCCTGGAGTATTTTGGGGTAATAAATGGTTATTATTAGAACCATTTGGTTGGTTGATCGACGTTAATTAAATATATTTTTTAAACCAAAAAATCTTATCCAGAAGGTCTTCTTAATAATATATATTATATTTTCGGAGTGAACGCAAACCTGTGCCTATTAAGTGGGTTAGTCAGTGACCTGAGTCACTGGCTCGCATCACTGGTCACGGTTTTGGATCCCAGCGCCCCACCTTTCCATTCCGTTTTGATGAAAATAGTTTTGGAAATTTTATTGGTGGAGCCGTATAATGCGCTTTGAAGTCAATGGCAATGCGAAGCCATCTTGATCCCGGGAATCTTTTGCTGTGCATGTTTTATGCTAATTGTTCGTAAATGCCCCGTCCCGCTGCCACACCAGCTCTTCTTCGGGCGATAAATATGGAACAAGCGCATAAATTTGTTTATTAACCAGATTCGAAGACGAGCGTTCTGGCGTCCAGACTCTTTGCTTTTTTAAGTGTTTGCAATTGCTGTTAAGGTTTGATCGTTAACATATTTTACGATGTTATTAGATATCCATTGGGCGATGGCCAATACGAGTCCATTTAATGATTGGTTATGCTCTATTAGTAATTGAGGTGTGTTTACTGCTCAATAATTGTGCGGAATTACGATCGTTAGATGACCAGGAGATGGGCTACTAATGTTGGAAATGAATGGAATATCTATGGGTTTAGTTACTTGATTTTTAGCACGTTTGATTGCAGTGAAAAATATAATGGAATTGTGAGGTTTAGACACAGACTTAGATACGCATTTAATAGAAACCTCTTAAATTTTATATCAGCCACAAAGACATAAAGACTTAGATTTGCAGCCGAAGGGACATAAAACGAATTTAGAACTTTGAGAATTGCAGAGAGGGGCACTTAATATTTAAATGACATTTTTAACTGAGTTAGATTAAATAATAAAATATTTAAGAAAACAACAAATGTTCCTTACTTATTACTACTCAACTCTGACTAAAGTGGCTAACATCATTTCTTGTCAAAAGGCTTCACTGTCAGTTAAGGTTGAAAGATCTTTAAGGCCGACCCCTCTTTTTGTGACTTTATGTGGGGGAAACTCCAACCGCAAATGCCTTGAAATCGGATGCCCTTTCACAAACACGTGGCAAGCCGGCTGATCACAATGCAGCTGGAGTGGTAGATTGTCATTGGCCAAGTCCAAGATCAAGTCCATGTGGAGCCCTGGACATTTTTCATCTGTCAAGCCAACTGCGGCGACTTGTGGCGAGGCGTTGAGATTTATTGAAGTGTTATAATTAAGTTAGAAATCGCTTTCTGATTGCAACTCCTCTGCTCTTCCCTTCTCCTCCTGCAGTTTTCACCTGGGGCAAGCGCATGAGTCGCAAACTGGATCTACTGAAGCGCAGCGACTCGCCCGCCGCCGCCCACAAATCGCACTCGGATCTGCGGAGCCTGTTCCACTCGCCAACGCACCACAAGAGTGGATCCGCTGGAGCCAGCGGACCCAGTTCGGCGAAGGCCTCGCCCTCAAACACTGGTAGCCATCAGAGCGGCTCCAGCTCCAGCTCCACGACCAGCACCCTCAAGAAGTGCAAGTCGGGGCCCATTGAGACCGTCAAGCAGCGTCACCAGCAGCAGCAGCAGCAGCAGCAGTTGCTCCAGGATGTGGGCACGGGACAGAGCCAGAGTGCTCAGTCCACGCCCACGCATCAGTTCCAGGCGGCCGCCCGCCCACAGAAAGCGCTGAAGAACTTCTTTCATCGGATCGGGTCCACCGGCATGCTGAACCATCGCTCCCACAATCTCCTCAAGGCCTCGGAGGCGTCCCAACAGGCCACACCGGCAGCCACCACGCTGTATAGGAGCAGCTCCACGAGCCAGCTGTCCAGCTGCTCTTACGTGAAGTGCGACGATCCCACCGAGGGTCTGAATCTTCAGAGGGAGCAGCGGGAGCAGCGACTTCCGAGGATTGCCAGCTTGAAGTCCAGTAGCTGCGACGACATAGCCAAGGTGAGCAGTTGTCTGACGGCAAGCACAAGTAGTGGCAGTGCTGCAGGCAGCATGGCATCTCCTCCGAGTGGAGCGGCATCTAGTGGAGCAGGAATTGCAACCAGTGGCCAGCACGATCCCTCGCGCCGCGGGGCCTTTCCCTACGCCTTCCTGCGATCGCGCCTCTCCGTTCTGCCCGAGGAGAACCACGGCAATGGACCTGGCCACCACCTGAAGCAACAAGTACAACGGCAGAGGGAGCAACACCAGCAGCATCAGAGGGATCTCCTCCAGCAGGAGCAGGCGTCATCGCCACTCCCCCAGCGCCGCTCCCCCGAACAGGCGATGCTGAACAATGTGTCGCGCAACGACAGCATCACCTCCAAGGACTGGGAACCACTTTACCAAAGATTAAGTAGTTGTCTAAGTTCGAACGAATCCGGCTACGACAGCGATGGGGGTGCGACGGGTGCCCGGCTGGGCAATAATCTGAGCATCTCCGGCGGAGATACCGAATCTATTGCCTCGGGCACGCTCAAGCGCAACTCGCTCATCTCCCTCAGTTCGTCGGAGGGTGTGGGAATGGGCATGGGCATGGGCCTGGGTTTGGGACTGGGAATGACACCCATTCCTCCATCGACGAGGAACAGCAGCATCTGCAGTGCGCCCGTGTCGCTGGGTGGCTACAACTACGACTATGAGACGGAGACCATCCGGCGGCGATTTAGGCAACTAAAGCTGGAGCGGAAGTGCCAGGAGGACTACATCGGAATTGTCCTGTCGCCCAAAACGGTGATGACCAACAGCAATGAGCAGCAATATCGGTATCTTGTCGTGGAACTGGAACCCTACGGCATGGCACAGAAGTGAGTACTTGGGGAATATAAAAGGGATCTTTATTATCTTTATTCCTTCTTAATTTATCTTACTGGAAGTCCGATAAGGATTTACTTAGAATTAAATCGTTATCTTACACTTCTTTCTTAAGATTTTTGGATATTGTCGTTTTTCTTTCTAAAACCTTTTTCAAAAACATTAAACCACCGTATTTGAATGCTTAATTTAAACAACTTCTTCTAGGGATGGCCGCCTTCGTCTGGGCGATGAGATTGTCAACGTGAATGGAAAGCACCTGCGCGGCATCCAATCCTTCGCGGAGGTCCAGCGCCTGCTGAGCAGTTTCGTGGACAACTGCATCGACCTGGTGATTGCCCACGATGAGGTGACCACGGTCACCGATTTCTACACCAAAATCCGGATTGATGGGATGAGCACGCAGCGCCACAGGCTGAGCTACGTTCAGCGCACCCAGAGCACCGACAGTCTGGCCAGCATGCAGAGTCTGCAGCTGCAGCAGGAGAGGATTCAGGGTCAGAATCTGGATCAGGAACCAGAGCCGGATGCCCAAGGCGAGGACCAGTGCGATGCGCGATCGATTGCCAGTGTGAGCACTATGCCCACTCCGATGCCGCTGATGCAGCATCGTCGGAGCTCCACGCCCAGGCACTCGCTGGAAATGAGTGGGCCAGAGCACGAGCTCCTCAGGAGGCGGGCCCGCAGCTCCTCAGGTCAGCGCAGCTTGGCTCTAACACCGACCCCGCTCTTTGCCAGCAGCAGCAGCAGCTGCTCCTCCTCCCCTAACCATCGGTTGCTGGATAACGAGAATGACCCCGCTAACGACACCGATTCCTATACGCCGGTGTATGCAAATCGGGCGGCGAGCGTGTGCGTGGCCTCCTCGCTGGCGGACGACGAGAAGTGGCAGCTGCTGGCCCGGAAGCGCTGCTCCGAGGGATCCGCCCTCTCCGCTGCCCCGAGCCCCCAGCAATTCGGCCAACGCACCCACTACGCCAGGAACTCCATCAACCTGGCCAACTCGCACTACCGCTCGCTCCGGTTTGCCCACTCACGGTTGAGCTCGTCGCGTCTCAGTCTGTTCATGCAGGCGCCGCCTAACAGTCTAACCGTCGGGGAGGGGGCTAACACCCCATCCTCCACAGCTACCACAACCACTGATCTCACTAACCAGCAGCAGCAAAACCAGCAACAGACACACCAATCACTGTACATCAAGCACTCGCCAAAGAGCGTCTCATTGTTCTCGCCTAATCCCTATGTTAACGCCTCATCCTCACCAGCATCAGCATCCACATCAGCGGGAGCGGGCTCATCTCTGGCCCCGCCTGCCGCCGCCCTAATGCATCATAGGCCATCACTGCCGGTGGCCAAGCTAACCATACGCGATGAGGAAATGGCGGAGGTCATCCGCGCGTCCATGAGCGAGGGTGAGAATCAATAACAACTTAATACCCCACATGAAATCTTAAACATTAACTTTAAATAATTGAAACTTAAAATTAAAAGAAGATAACAAAAACTATTTTCCATCATGATACATACGTACTTATCCTTTTCCTATACTAAACATTATTATTAAATTACAGGAAGTGGTCGTTGCACTCCAAAGACTATTACCTTCTTCAAGGGACCTGGACTGAAATCTTTGGGCTTTAGCATTGTGGGAGGTCGCGATTCACCCAAGGGCAATATGGGAATCTTTGTGAAGACCGTATTTCCCTCGGGTCAGGCTGCTGATGATGGCACACTGCAAGCAGGTGGGTTATTTATAAGCAAATGAAATGCTGTGATTCCAACTAAAATAAATCCTTAACAGGCGATGAGATAGTGGAGATCAATGGCAACTCTGTGCAGGGCATGAGTCACGCTGAAACCATAGGACTCTTTAAGAACGTTAGAGAAGGCACCATTGTGCTTAAGATCTTGAGAAGAAAGTAAGTAACAGCATAGCAAACTACTCTTGGAATCCAAATCTAAGTTGATATTTCTTTACAGATTGCAGAAGGCAAAATCAATGGGTTGTTAGTTAATACCCAATTGGACTTATCCCGATGATGATACCTGATTATGGACAAACCGCATTGTTTAATCAATTTAAATGTTAGCTTCAATAATTAAGTGAAGTCTTTTTTCGTAATCGTACAAAGCCCCTTGAAAGAACTATACTTATATACAGACTCTATATAGCATCTAGAATCCCAAATAGTACGTAAACAATTGTATGGAGTTACAATTTTAAATTATTTACTCAATCTAGACTAGGCTAAGGTTCGAAACGTTGTACAAGTTCTACATACATACAAGTGAAATATATTTACCTGAAAAGCAAACTCTTGAATATATGTTTTGATTTAAAGGAAGTTTATTAAAGCTAATCCGCCGTTTCCGTTTCATTCTTGACAATCAGTCGTTGCTTCTTTACAAAATGTTCTATCCGATTTTCCAAACTCTCTGTAAAAATAGTTGATTAGAAGGCCTTAATGATACAATGAATTTGAAATATCTACCACAACGTTTGCGTTCTAAAAGAGTCTGATATTGACGCGGTTTGACTGAATCCTGCAGCAGTATTACTTGGGCCAGCACCTTCTCTTTGGGCTCAAAGTTCTCCTCTAGTAAGCTTTCAAGTTGTTCAAGCACATTTTTTATCATGGTGCTTTTTACACTAAATTGCGTCCACTCGCATTGTGTGTTTTCAATTAGTTTTTGTAGATTTTCCTCATTGTAAATCCAGTTCGTGAGATCGCGTTCCTGTAAATGATCAGGAGAATCTGAGCTTTCGGTTTCCTGTGTGTCTGTATCCATTGCATCTTCATTTGCATCTTCGCCTGTAGGATGATTTACACTTCTAGTGGTCTTGTCCCGAAAATCACAACGGAATAGATTTAATGGCAAGCCAATGGCAGGAGTATACTGAGGCTTGCAGGGATTGGAGTCCACATCAAGCAGGTTACTGATAACGCTTGGTTTCTCCTTCCTCTGACCAACAAGTAGTAAAACTGCCATTATGCAACGAATCTGGTGCCAGAGGAAAGCATTGGCTTGGATCTCTAAGTAGTACATGTCGTAGCCTGTGAATAGGTTTATAATAGGTTTGGGTTGCTAAAAAAAAGCTAGTATTTAATTCCAATAATTACCTGTATTTGATTGCCTCTCCTCACAAGCTTGCACCCTCGCTGATTGCAAGTTTCTCATGTAGTTGGTCACTCCATTGTGGACGTCCATTTTGCAGAAATTCCTAAAATCTGCATGACGAACTAGGAGATTACAGGCATCCTGCATAGCAGGAATGTCCAGGTCGCCCTTGGGAAAATAGTAACGATAGCTACGCGAAACGCAATCAAACCGAGCGCTGTAAACAGGACTTCGCAGTGGCATCCAGGCCACACACTGGATATTCTTGGGCAGCACTCGATTCAGAAGTCCACAATAGTCGATCTCGGATAACAGAGCATCGGAATTCAGTTGAGATTCGGGCGGGTGCTTGCTGCGCAGATCAATAGATATCACCTGGCAGAAGGCGCTCACTTCCTTGTCGGTGCGCCCACAGCGATGATAATTGGAGGTGGCACGGGATTCAATGAGGCAAGTGCGACTCAGAGCTCGAAACAAATTTGATTCTGTAGAAGGGAAGGACAGTTAAGCACAAAATTACTCGCAACTGGGTTAAGAATCTACCGATTGTATCATTGGAGTCCTCCTGGCAAGCGAATCCTTGATAATCCCAACCAAAGTAGGTAATCTTCAGCAAAACATGACGCCTGTGGGCACTGAAAAGATTTTGAGATCCATGAAGATTCAATGATTTTTTAAAACATACAACTACTTACTTGCTCCAATCGAACTTACGTTGTTTCTTCAACTTGTTAGACATCTTTGTTTCTTCGGAGACCTTATCCTGCGTTTCTTTTCCGAATATTACAGCATACTCCTCATCATTTTTATCTTGTTCGGTTAACTTTTTCTGCAGCAGATTCCGCAACTGAAAGTTGTAGGCCTCCAGTTGGACAACCTTATCAATCAGCTCCGTTTGGCTGAGTTTTTCCAGCGCCTCTCGGGGCAGACATTTTAAGCGTTTATTTATCACAACCTTTTTTTCACTTGTTGCGCTCATTTCGGCGGTAAATTGAAAATAAACAAACTGGAAGCTACACGTGAAATTCGACCGAGCTGTTTGCCATTCGCAACGAAACGCGGGTACTGGAGATGGGCAACTCGTAGTTTCTCTACAGCATACTCTACTTTTTACACCGCCATGTAAATAGCTGGTATTAATATAAATATATTAATAAAGGTTGTAATTTGGAAAATAAAAGTGTGGTTTAATTTGTTGTTTTTACGATAAACATTGTTCCAAGAACGCGTTTTTGTATGGTACACGAGTGTTAATATGGTTTATTTGAAACTTGTCGGTGCAAAGAATACAGCGAGACAGAAAAATATTTACCTTTCAGAACCCTGTGGTAGGGAAAGACTGGAACTTCGTTATTATTTAAAGATTTTTAGATACTATTTTAAATAATTAAAGTATTCTAAATTCGGACAAAGGAACTATATCAAAATTTCAACATTTGTTTATTAGTCAATCTCTCAAACTCCAACTTCATATTGAGAGAGGGGATGTTCCCGAAACATCAATTCACTTAAAAAAGCTGTAAATTAATTTTTTCAATTATACTCCCGAATTTAAATTAATTTAAATTCATAGCAACTAATAAGTATGCGATAGTTTGAAAACCAAACCATGAGAGACCAAAAATCTAGCCTATTTAAAATAAAATTTCGGATAGTTTAAATTTTTATGAAAGTGCTGAACAGATCAGTTGTTAAGGGAATTCCAATGGCTTAATATATTCGGTATATTCGGAGTGTGATACTTAGTGCCTAATGGTATTTTTCGTGACTCCAAGCACGGTCACACCGTTCGTAGGCTACTGTTTATAATTTATTTTAGTTTCCTAAAAAACACCAAAATCATCTGGAGATTACCCAGAGCAGAGTCCTAGTGCATAAGTACGCGACATAACTGCTTTCGCTACCATTTGCTGCTTCTGTGGTGCAGCATCTGAAGGTGAAGGACACCACGAACGCCTGGAAGGAAGCAAGGCTGCAAGGACATCGCAGAGGATGGACGCGTGCAGCCACAAGGTCGATGGCGAGAACGACAATTGTGAGGCGACCTTGGCCGCAGTGAACCTGAATGTCCTGCCCGATGAGATTCTGGAGTTCATCTTCACCTACCTGCCGCCCTACGGGGACTTGGAGCACTGCAGTCTGGTGTGCAAGCGCTGGCACGTCATTGTAAAGAGTGGGTAGCTTGTATTGAAGGCCAAAGTCCTTTTTATTTTTACTTCTTGCCCTCAGATCTCGTGCGTCGCTCCAAGTTGAACCTTGAGAAGGGATTAACGGACTTCCGACTGCGCTGGGAGGTGTTTTCCCAGCAAAGTGCCAATGGTATTGGAGGAGCACCCCTGTCCTTCATCGCCGGACGTTTTGCGCACTCGGCAGTGCGGCAGGATAACTCGATGTATGTGTTTGGTGGCGGATCATCCTCGGATACGACCTTCAACGATCTCTGGCGCTTCGATTTGACGCACATGCGCTGGGCGCGGCCGGTGGCCACTGGGACGTATCCCTCGCCCAAGGGAAGCGCCTCCATGGTGGCGTGGCGGGACCAGCTAGTGCTCTTTGGCGGCTGGCGCTATCCTTCGCTGCATCCCCCTTACCAGCCTTGGTGTCTGTTTGACGAACTACACTACTATGATCTGGGCAAGAACCGCTGGCTGCTGCGCAACTCGCTGTCCTGCCCACCACCCATGGCTGGACACTCGGCCACTGTGCACGGCGATAGGATGGTCATCTTCGGCGGCTACCAGATCAAGGACGATGTGAATGTGAACTCCAACGATACGTGGGTGTTGGATTTGCCAGAGCAGCGATGGTGGCAGCCGCTCTTCGTGGGCAATACGAGACCCAGTCCGCGATACGGACAAATCCAGGTGGAGTTGGGCAGGAATCATCTTCTGGTCGTAGGAGGATGTGGCGGCGCCAATCGGGTGTATACCGATGCCTGGCTGCTGGACATGACCAGGGATGTGTGGTGCTGGAAGTCGCTGAATGTGCGTAACAAGCGATTCGGAGCCGTCCACATGTGGTGTAATCCCGGCTGCAAGGTCAACAACTACCTGGTGGTGGTTGGACCTTCGCCCAACATGCCTCAGGACTTCCAGATGATGAAGCAGAGCAGAGTCCCTGTCGTGGGAGGTCGTGGACCGCCGCCGCCGAATCCTCTTCAAAATCTACCCCCAAGGGGACTGCGGATACCGGTACCGGATCGGCGTCTGGGAGGAGGAATGGGAGGACCGGGTCAGAACCGTGGAGGAAACATCCGTCCTGGAGTGGGAGGGGCAGCAGCCGCACTGGGACCTCAGGAGCAGTATTTGGCCAACCGGCGAGCAATTCTCAACCAGCATATGCAGCAGGCCCAGCAATTCCTGCACAACAGCAATGTAAACAATAATAACAATAATTACCAGCCACGCTCGGGTCGATTGAGTGATCTACACGCTCCGCCAGCTCCAGCTCCTGCTGCTTCTCCCCCCTCTCCACCAGTGCGACCAAATGCTCCTCCATCTCCAGCCGATGGCGATGTGGATGCCGCTCAGCGGTTGCAAAGGAATCTGGCTCTACGGTGTCGTGATAATGAACCTAGGCTCCCCAAACGCTTCGATGAGCTATACGAGGTAAATGGATACAACTTTCTTCCAAAACGCACTTTAATAATTAAAATTTTACATCAGGACCCCTTTCGTATGGCCGCCTTTAATGTGCCCACTCGGTCGCGAAGTGCGTCGCGGGATCACAACGAGCGCATCCGGCGCATGGAGGAGAAGATGAACGCCATCCGGAATTCGCGACGGAGTGCACCGGCTGCCGCTCAAGTGGAACCACAGCCGCTGCGCGCCCCATCTCCTAAACGACTGCGCTGCAATGTACAATCACTATTTGTGTGCGACATCTCGAACATCTTGGAGAGCAGCGAGCCAGCCCTCGACTGGGTGGAATACAAGAACTTCGGCGTGCTTAAGGGCGCTCCGGATCGGTTAATCCTCTCAAGCCTCATTGCCGGCAACGGCGAGCTGATCCTTTTCGGGGGCGTTCACAAGGAGACACTGACGGACATCACACACCATGTGTCCAATTCCATACACTTCCTGAGTGTGCCACGTGATATTATCTAAGCTCCGGACCGAATCCCGTCCTAGTCCTAAGTTATCCGGATAGCAGACTGCTATTCTTCCTCCCAAACCCTTCAAAGAAGTTCGGCCGAAGTTCATTTAGACATTAAAATGAGTGTAATTGATGTGTTTTATGATTATAAACGATTAACTACCAGTGGATCTCCAAAACATTAGCTCAAGTTGTAGCTGTCCAGCAGTTTGATTAAGTCGTACGCTTTTTGGAAGCGCATATCACAGAGGTCATCTTGGCACGTAACACATTGCTCCAATAGTAGTTGCAGTCTTTTGTTGTCCAGATCCTTAAGCAGAACATCTCTTAACAGAAGGCATGCTTGGTAAACATTCGCATCCAGCTGCTGTCCAGAGCAGAATGCCGAGACGTCGAAGGTGAATCCTTCGCCAGGCAGGGGCTCGTATTTCTGTGCTTGTCCTGAGGTGGATTCAGCATCCACCAGCACTAGTGAATCCAAATCGATGAGAATCACCTTTCTGCTGGCTTCATCGTAAGCCAAATTATCAGCCGTGAAATCGGTAAGAAAGATGCGAAAGTCAGAGAATCCAAAGGTCAGTTTGAGGGATAGTTGAAGCAATTGGCAAGCCAGCTGCATGCGCAGATCTTCTTCGGCTTCCACATAATGAAATAGAGTACGGCCCGCATGGGACTGAAAATGTGTTAAACCGCAGAAGGCGAATGTGCGGGGCACTGGAAAATCCAGAAAATACAATTCCTGCATGAGGAGCGGTCCGACATAGTGCATCATGTAGAACCAGACGCTGGCGGAGGCATGTCCACTCTCCTCTAAGTAACTGACATATCGTGGTTTCTTTCCAGAAGTTCGGCAAAGGTGGAAGCCACCAGGTCGCTCCTTTAGCTCAAGGAACTCATTTTCCAGGTGTTTAGTGTTCAGTTTCCTTTGATCAATGTTTTTTCTTTTTGCCACCAATTGGGTTCCCTGATGCTCCTCTTTCAGCTCAAGGAAATAAATCGCACGACGATCAAAGAATTGGGAGACGGCTTTAATTAGTCTGCTCCAATCCGAGGGCTCTAAAATTTTCTGAAAGATCTGTTCGCACTGCTCTCGATGTCCAGAGAAGCAGGCAGGACAAAGTTGTAGATCACTCTCAAAGAGCTCCTGAAAAACATTTCTCTGAGGCTTAACCTGCAACTCCTGCAGCAGGGCCAGAATGAGCACGACTTTTAGATGTCCAGGCGACAGGTGCATCACAGGGTGCTGCGAAGAAAAAAGGGGGAAATGTTAAAGACATGATAAAGAAGGGCTTGGCAAACAATAAAAGCAGCCACACGTGTGTGTATCTGAGGGAAATGTGCGTGAGGGCCCAGCCTCCAATCCAATGGCCACATTACCTGTTTCGCAGCCACATGCCAAAACCGAACTCGAGCTCTGAGCCAAAGAAGCTGCTGAAGATTACCACAAACGACTCAAGTATACTCTTTCGTTATTTAAAGAAATAGAATCGTAATGTATTTAAATGCATAATATTTAGAATTAAAGTTTTTTCTCCGGAGTTCTTTAGATATAAATATGCTAATTATTACAAATTATTGCAATTTTTAATTAATATTAATTAATATTTAAAAATATATGGAAAATTAATTTAATTTACCCTTTTTTTTACAAGAGAATAAAAAAATATATTTTTAAAAATGTTCATATTTACTATTTCTTACATATTATGTATGATCTATTGTTTTTCAATTATTGATACTTTATTTAATGTTCGTTCTTTCCTTGTTTATAAAACTTTGAGAACAAAAACAATTGGTTCGCTTTAGCTTCACCTTGTTCTAAAATTAGGTAATATATATTAACAAAGATTATCAATGATAAGATTACTATTTCATTATCGCCATGGTCATAGCACGTTTTATTTTAAATTGAGATAAAGGGATGTACCCCACGAAGTATGAAGAGTAAGAAAGCGACTGGGAGCTACAGAAATAGCTTTGGTGTGCTTGGCTTCCCAGCTGAACTGAAGAAGAATCAAATGAATGGGTTCAAGGTTGGCCATCAATTGCTGGCAGCAAAAAGCCAGGCCGACTCTTAATTTGCAATCTCTTCAGGGTTGGGATAGGTAGCCATTATAAAGGTAGGGTCACATCCTCCGAGACACAAATGTCAAATGCCCTTGCCTTATACTTCAAAATTAAGTGTTCCTCAGACTGGACTGGATCTGGTAGATTATGTTAGAGTTCTGGTGCTCCATTGTTAACGACGACGAATATAGTCAATATAGTGACGATATGGCACCGCCACCCACGTCCTCTCAGGAACCTGAGTCTACCAGTAAGACACACCGTGTGAAATTTAACGGCGACACCATACAACAATTAAAACTCAAGGCATTGGAAAATGTGGGCTCTACAAATGCCTTTTTCAATTACCTACTGGCCCAGCAAATTCGTGAAGTGAACATAGCTGGACTCAAATACCAAGATGTGGTGTGTTCCCATAAAATAATCGCAGGGAAACAGATATGGGGCTCGATGGATGAGGAGCAACGGGAGCCCTACCTACAACTTGCTGAGCATATTGCCAAACACCATATTGGAACTTTTCAGGATAAAAAGAAACTGGACGAAATGAGCTACCAAATCCGAAGAAAAATCAGCCCGAGAAGAAAACAAAAATCACTGAAAGCTCTACGAGCAACTGAGTTTTTGAGAGAGGGATGGTTGAGAGAGACCAAAAAACGCTTGGAGAACGCTCCCCATCGCCAAGTAAGATCAGTTAAAGGTGGCGCGTTGCGCTAGATGGTTGTCGTTATTCTGGTCTCTCGCTTAAGTTCTCGTATCTCTCGGAACAGCTGGCTCGTCTGGCGTACAAAGACGCGATATCGGTCAAGTTCAGGCGGCGACGCGACGCGACGCGACGATCAGTCAATTAGCCTCGCCAAGAGGACGCGTGAAATTCACTTTTAATTTTCGAACTTAATTTTTTTACACCGCAAACCTATATCATATAGATCGCTTTTGTTACGAATCGTTCGTGTGCTTATTTGAAAAAGAATTTGTCACAGTGCCAAAAGGTGTGTTTCTTCTTGGAAATGTCCACTTAAATCGTATACTTTTCCAATGTTCTTAAAACTCATAAATTAGCGTTAAGGTCGTGAGTGAACCCTTCCCCACCTTGGTTAGTTAAATTTTTACGCAACTGAATCGCGCGATTCGAATCGAGTAAACAATGTGCGCAGCAGATCCCCAGATAATTGATTGATTTTTTAAAGGGGATAAATATTAGCATGAGCTCAGTTCGGATTAAATGAAATCAGGGAATCGGAGATTAGCACTCGGACAAAGCTTTAAGGCGAGCCCGCTGTTTACAATTCGTTCTAGGTGTACCCTATTATTTAAAGATAGAGCTTATTTGTCGGATATTATTTTGGTTATTATTTGTAGTTATTTGTATAAGAACCTCGGTTTTATATCGGTTGCTCATAAATTACGCACTTGATCATACTGACAGGTGCCTAGCACTGTTTTCGTACAGAACCCCTTATAAGTCGCCTTAGCCTAAGCTCCACTTATCCAACTAAAATCTGTAAAAACAGTTTAAACCGGTTATATATTACCCCCTAAACAAAAAGCAAAAAGCGAACCCGAGCCGGCAATAGATGAATAGCTAACTTGCCTGCAAACAGACGCGTCGTAGTATTATTTCGGCTTATTGATAAACAAATGCCTGTGTGCGATTGTCTATATATGTACTACATATATATATATATTTATTTGCATGCCGCTAACACCGCGATCTTGGCCATGACTTAGGAAATCAAATGCATGCTGAGTAATTGTTATTATTTAATTCAAATTACGTCACGTATTTCATATGTCCGTAAACGCCCCTGACTTTACAGATAATATTTTCAGGGGGGATTTCGTTATCGGACGATTTTACGCCACCCGACATTTTAATTAAGAACCTTAAAATGGCAAGCAGAATGAAAAGTGACATTTTTATTTTAGAAAAAAATTTCATTTTTCGTGAGGAATGTAATTTAAATTCAGGGTAAAACCAACTGGACAAGCCAAATTATTGGCGAAAATATTTATCATAAAGAAACCATTTTATTTAGCATATACCTATATTGACAATAAAATTTCCAATTTGGTCAAACTAAATTTTAGCAAACTTTTTGCTGTTTCTTTTAAATGAGAGTTCTCATATTCTTTCGAATCTTTTCGTCTCGTCTCGCTTTCTATTCGCCAGCGTTGAAATAGTTTCCATTATCTTGCGAATGATTAATGACCCCCCATGACACGCGTAAATTATAAACTGGTTCTCAAATGGCTCATAAATATTTACTACCTTTCTCCGCCCTTTCCGCAGATGAGCATCTTGGCAGTGGACCGCAAGGAACAGGCCAACGTTGGTGGTCTACTGAGTAGGCGCTACGGCCAAATGCTCCGTGGAGGCAAATACACGGATTGTGTGTTTCACGTGTGTAATGAGCAGGTTAAGTGCCACAAACTTATCCTGAGCGCGGCCAGTCCTGTTTTTGAGGCCATGTTCTTTGGGCCACTGCAAAGCAATGAACCAGAGCCGGAAATTGAAATCCACGATATTAGTGAAGCCATATTTAAGATTCTGGTGGATTACATCTACACGGGCGTCGTGGACTATAACGGCCAGGAGCTGGTGGCCTGCATTGAGCTGTACTATGCGGCTGAGAAGTATTTTCTGGAGGAGCTCATCTCTGACACGTTGATTGCCATTACCCGAAAGTTGCGTTTCGCCAATATCATGCCGGCACTGGAGCTGAGTGTTTGCATGGGCCTCGACGGCCTTTTGGATGTCTGCATGACGTTCTTCATGCGCTGTTGTGTGAATAATGGACAGTTTAAGAACCATCTAAAGGAGAACTATGTGCACGTATCCAAGGAGTGCGTAAAAGCTATCATTGCCGCTTGCAAGGAGCCGCACAAGCTGCTCATCTGGTACGTTTACGAGTGGACGCAGCAGGAGTGCGAGGAGTTGGGCCTAGGTCCCAGTGATGCGGATTTGGTGGTGCACGGATTGGGTGGCGGATCGAGCGATTGGCACGTGGCCTCTGGTGTCAATGAATTGGAATCTCCTGCTCCAGCTCCCGTGGTTTCTGTGGAACGCTGCTACTACAAAGCCTGCCGGCCGTTTACTGTGGATGCCGAGACTCCGGTGTTCCGCCTGCGTCTGAAGTGTTCCAGATTCATCTCCCTGATGGGTTTGGTGCTCAACAGCCGAATGACCCCCAATCGTATGGGCCACGTCCAACAGCTGGAGTACCGGGAGTCGTTGCGCCTGGACATCTGTGAGGTGCCCGCTGAGAGCGAGAGTCCAGCCACTGCGCCTGTGTGGAGTCATGACGTTCAAGGCCAGAGCACCAAGTATAACTGCGATCTCCACCTCAACTGGCGCCGCGAGGAGGCCTGCGTGCTCAATCCGGAGCTGTCCTACGAGCTGCAGATCCGCTGGGACACCAGTGCCTACGGGGCGGAGTATCCGTGCAGCCTGCAGTCCTGCCAGGCGGACGGAATCCGGTTCACGGACGGTGACAGCTTTAGCGGAAGTCTCGTCAAGGGACTGCGCTATGCCAACCTGGTGTAGTCGCTCCGGATGCGAAACTCCATACCACAATAAGTTAGTCCGTAAGGCGTGTGTGTATTTATTGCCCTAAGTTAATGTACGCTGCCTCAGAGTTCAATAAACTGTGAGTAGATCGCTTTAACCCACGGTTTCGATAAGCGGAAAAAGCCGGTTTGAGGGGCGCTTTCTGTTTTGCGGCTGTCGAACTCGATCGATGAGCGCAGTTGGGGCCTCGGGAATGGGAACTTTACTCACCTCTTATGATGTCCACAGATCAAGCCACCTGCGGCGCCAAAATGTTAACAATCATTGATTTAATCAAAAATTATAATCAAAACAGCCGATGTAAACAAAGGCGGAACCAGTCAGAGTGACCATGTTTAGTTATTGATTTTATATTAAAATGTTGCGGCCATGGAAAAAATTCTGATTAGAAAATACAATATTCATACTAATCTTAAATTATTAAATAAAATTATTGTTTAAAAAAAATTATTGAATAAAAACAGAACATAAATAGATTATCGTTTTCTCGCTCCACTTATTAAACATTTCTGCAAACAAAAGACAGCTCGTTATAAAAAAGAATTAACCAATCTTAAAATTTTTCTGCAAAATACATTTTTTTGTTCAACAAAAAGTATTATTGTATCGTATATGGTCATTAAGTAAAACTATTACTTACAAACAAATATTTAACTCAAAAATCAAATTCACAAGATCTAGTGTGAAAACCGCTATCTTAACAGCCCTGATATAGTGTTGGAAGTTTAACATTGGTTGCATGGTGTTGGCAGTCGCCGCGTACAAAACAATAAAAATCCTCTGCGGGTTTTGTTTATGCTGCAAAAATGACGATTTTGTACAAAGTTGAGGGCAAAGAGTTCAGCAAGGACAGTGTTTTCCCACACAAAATGGTCCTCTGCTCCGTGTCTACCCGGAATATTGTGGCCTTCAGCGCCCTGCAGAGCGCAATAGTTCCGTCCTCCCACGGAGGAGAAGCCGGCGATGGATCCTTGCCGGGAGCAGGCTTGGCTGTGGGCGCCAGCAACAGCCATGTGTACGTGTGCGACATTGTGACCCCCTGGGAATACTACAAGGTGTGCTCCTCCAAGTCGCTGATCAGTGTGCTCCAGTGGAGTCCCAACGGTGAGCAACTGCTGCTTGGCTTCGTCGGCGGACGCGTAGAGATCTGGCAGCCAAAGAACCAGTCCATCAACCTGTGGCTCCTGCAGTGCCACGCCACCGTGCCCAGCGAAGACATCGTCCAGGCGCTGTTCTTTCACAACGGCAAGGGCGTGATCTTTAATCCACAGAAGAAGGATCACACCTACTATGCGGAGAAGTTCGAGCGGCAGGAGCAGCAGAAGCCCACTCTCTGCGGATTCGGCGGAGTGCCTAGCGAGGGCTGCGTGCTGCTCACATCCTCTGGACTTCTGGCCGCATTTGGTCTACCCGGGCTGCAAAAGACAACCACAAGCGGAGGAGGAGGAGGAGCGGAAGGACCTGCCCATGAGATCCTCGAGCTGACGCCCACGCTTCACAGCATTGGCATCTCACGCAGTTTTATTGAGCACTGCAGCATGTCGCCGAATCCATCGGGAGCACTAAATGTCGCCTTTAGTTGCGGCTGGCAACAACAGTTGGTGCAGTGCTTCAGGGTTTCTTTGTCCCTGGAGGGCGAACTAGGTCTCGAGCAGCATCTGACCATCAAGTCCGAGTCGCAGGCCAGCATATTCTTGGGTCCTCTCGATGGACGTCGGATAAGTCACTTAAAATGGACGCGGGTGGCCAGCGAGAATGTGATCTTCATTGCCTACGCCTGTCCGGATGGTTCTGGCAGCCAACTGGAGCAGTGGACGCTGACACGCCGGCATCAGAGTGTCCACGCTCTGCTCCAGGGCGGAGGCGGCTCCAACAGCAAGCCCAACGAGTTCGTGCAATCCGAAAGCTGGGAGCAGGTGGGAAAAGTGCAGCTTAATGCATCTTTGGCTGATATTAGCGTAACCCGACTATCAGTTTCCGCGCCGGATTGCTGCCAGGTGTATGCCATTCTTCAAGACAACAGCGTCCAAGTTTTGGAGCCCAATTCGCTGAAGCAACTAAATCACACTCAGTTCGAGAAGGTTTCGGACGCCAGTGGTGGAGTGAGGTTCGTTAGCGGCGACTTAACGCCCACCAGCCAAATGCTACTGATCTTCGACAGCCATGCGCAGTTGCACGCCATGCAGGCTCCTCTTGTAAAGCAAACAGGATCTAGTTTGCTTTTACTGGAATATTGCATAGTCACAGGCTGTGATGCTAGTGATGTGCTCCTCCTTAATCTAGGAAATTTGGAGGCCCTGGTTGAGAAACTAACGGACAACTTTACGCGGCAACCATCGTATGTGCGGCACTATTACTATGCCAACTTTCTGGCCCTTAAATCCAACCTTTGCCGCGTGCAGCAGCAGGAGTTCGACAATCTGATCATTCTGCACGCCATATCCACCACATTCAAGAGCCTCCTGCGACCCTCCGATTTGGGCTTTCAGGATAAAGGACCGGCCGATAACTTGGCCATTAAGCTGGCCGAATCCATACCGGATGTGGACACCGTTATGCTGAACCTGGATGCCAAAGACTTCACCGTGGAGCCGGTTATGCTGCAGAGCCTTCAGCAGCTGATTCAGTGGGTCACCGACCTGGCGCTCAACATGTTGCACCGACTGCCCGAAGAGGTGATGAAGAGCAAGCTTTCCGGGAAGCGGCCAAACTACGACATCAGCCGGGACATCGTGGCGATAGGCAGTCTACGCGAACTCTTGGTCATGATCCGCATTTGGGGCCTGCTAAACACCCAGTGCCTGCCCGTGTACACCAAAACCATGGATAACATTGATGTACTGGTGATCCTATTTCGTTTACTGACTCGCTTGGCTCAAAATCCCGCTGAGCCGGACGAAATGCTGCTAGACGAGTGCAGTCTGCTGTCCAAGCAACTGCTGATTCCCCAACCCACGAAGTTTAGCCCCACCACGCTGCTCAGTGCCCAGGGATTCGCAGCCGTTAAGTCGGGACAGCTGCAGTTCACCTCGCTGGTGGAACCAACCTGTCTTCAGGACATGGAAACAGAGGAGGTGGTGTTCTCGCGATCAGTCAAGGATGGCGTTAGCAATCTACAGTTGGGCGCCCGACCCACCACCATCCGGAGGTGCGCCCGCTGCGGATTCGTCTTCGTCAACAACGCCAGCAAGGTGGCAAAGACGTCCGCGCTTAAAGCGTGGTTCAGCAAGTGGCTGCACTGCCACTGCGGCGGCTTTTGGAAGCAAATAAACTAGTTAAATATGTGTCTATCCTTAGTTTTAAGTGTAATCGTAGCAATAAAATTCAAAAGAAAGGTCAAGTTTTATTTTAAATTGAAAAAGCATAAGTGTTTAATACCTTTATTAAGCCTGTCTATTTACTCACACATTTTTTTTATATCACTTTTAAAATAAGAAAATTGCCAAAAAAAATGTCAGAGAAATCTATCTTGAAATTTATTAAAACATATGTTAAAGCGAAAATATCAAATATTAAAATCAAATTTTAAATTACAAAATAGGTCAATATTATTTTTTAATTTCTGACGGTTGTATTTTAAGTGCCCAAACATAAAAAATGGCTTGGTAGAAAGCGGCTCGCATTAAGCGTTGAAATTATCGGTGAAAGAAAAAACTATTTTGAGAAGTTCGACAAAAATTTTTTTTTGGAATTTCAATATATAATATAAATAACGAAATTATAAAAACTTAACCAGGTTGCTTATATGGATGGTAAGATTTTTTTAATTGCAGCTACATAAATATATGATAAAAACGTTAAGCAGTAACGACTCAAAAATTCAACCGTGTAGGGAATAATTAAAATAATTTTCAAAACAAAATACAATAATTTTTAATTCAGTTTTAAACTTCCAATAAGGTTTTTCGGTATAAGATAATTCGGTATATTTGGTAATGGGTTCTTTAAAAGTATTTTAACGGTTCTCTGACACGGTCACGCTGGTGCAGTGCAAACTGGATAAATACAAACATTTTGGGTAGCAAAGCTGAATTTAAATTTAAAGTTTGAAAGCAGCAATACCAATTGTCGAATAACTTTGCAAAAATGAACATACATCTGCCCAATTTCAACGTGAAGAACCTGGTGAAGGAGGCAGGCAGCACAATATCGCGAGTGGTGCAGGTGAACAAATCAATGATTTTGGGTGGTAGTGGTAGGAAAATGCGGGTGGGGATGGTACGGGGCCTGGTCTTTAAGGGGGGGAGGTGGCTTCCAGCCCGAGCTCAAGCACTTGCGTTGACTCTTTGCCCTTTTCTCCAATTTTCCAGCTCACGGAGGAAAAGCTTGGCACCACTGAGCGCACCGAGTACGACTTGCACTTCCAGAATCTTGCTGAGCGGGCAGATGTGACCAAGACTTGGACGGAGAAGATAGTGCGGGACACGGAGTCGGTGCTGATACCCAATCCCCAGAACCGTGTCGAGGACTTCATCTTCGACAAGATCGAGAAGTCGAAGCCAAAACGGCTGAGCAACCTGGAGCACCTGGCATTGGACATGATCGAGGCTGGCGGCGATTTCGGCCAGGATCTGCCATACGGTCAGGCGCTGATCAAGGCCGGCCAGGCGGAGCAGAAACTGGGCCAATGCGAGCACGACTTCATTGCCACCTCCGGCATTTGCTTCACACAGCCGCTGCGCAAATTTCTCGACGGAGAGATGAAGACAATTGGCAAGGAGCGTGGCATACTGGAGTCCAAGCGCCTGGACCTGGATGCCTGCAAGACCAGGGTGAAGAAGGCTCGCAGCATGCTTGGCCAACAGTCGGTGAGTGGTTTGTGGTGGTTACAACAATCACCCCCACGATTGTTTGGGTTTCGTAACGACTATATTCTCACGGTATTTTTCTGCCCCCTGCTGCATTTTGTTGGTTTGAAATATATAGAAAGATGGCATCTCGCCAGAGGCCGCCTTGGAACAGGTATCGAGACCTTGACCAAGCTTTGGATTTATGGTTAATCAATATGCGGATTAGTAACGCTCATTGTTTTCGCAGGCGGAGCGGGATTTGCGCGTGGCACAGGCCGAGTTTGATCGACAGTCGGAAATAACCAAGCTGCTTCTGGACGGGATCAGCACCTCACAGGCCTCACATCTGCGCCACTTGCACGCCTTCATCCAGACGCAGGTGCGCTACTACAAGCAGTGCGGCGATGTCATGGAGCAGCTGCAGCGCGAGTTGGCCAAGTGAGTTTAAGGTTGACGGAGGAGGATGGCTGAGACTCTCAACTAGGCACCAAAAGAACCCGTCCTTGCACCCAAAACACCAGGCCCCATCCCTGCTGTATCCAGTGCTCCCTTCCGGTCATCTCACTGTGCGTTATGTTATCTGTTTGTGGTCTTACAGAATGCAGCATCCCAAGCCACGCCTGCGCATCAATAGCGAAGACGTTGATGGTGGGCCTCCCAGCTCTGTGTCGATGCATTCCTGTGATTCCGATTCCTTAGTGGGCCCAGCCCTAGATAGCGACCCAGATCCCGATCTGGACAAGTCCCTAACGAATCTCCTGGAAGACTTTCACATAGAGTTCGATACGACTGCCGTCTCCACAGTTTAGGGGTCTTGTCATTGACCTGAAATTCGAATCGGATCTCGTGCCAGTTAACATTAACATTTAATTATACGTACTAGATAGGTTGTTGTTATCGGTAGTTATTGCACCTTGTAATGTCAGGTTTCAGCAGCTCATCCCTCCATTTAGAGCCTCGCAATCAAACCGAATCAAAACTCATTAAACTCTGCATCTTTCATCAGCTTGGGAGGCCCCACACCATACATTCCGCTCAACGCAACCGAAGCCATTGCCAGCAAGTCCAGCTCATCGGCTGGAGCCCCGGACCGTGGTCCCGGCAACAACCATTCCGCCAACTCGGTTGCTTCCGGCCACAAGCCCAATCAGCCAATGCAAGTCAGCACGGATCAGATGCAGCGGGCACGCGTCCTTTGCTCCTACGATGCCAAGGATCACACCGAGCTTAATTTGAGCGCAAATGAGGTGAGTTATTCAGAATTGCAAATGGGGCTATGTGCAATATAAACTATATCTTCCCTTGCTTGTTAAATTAAAATGACATATCAATTTATATTTTAATAATAACTTATAAGGAAACTTCTCCGATTAAACTGAGATACAACAATTTTTCAACACTGAATATGGCCACTCGGCCTCCTGTCGAGTTTTCATCAAATGGAATTCGCACCTCAATTACTTGGGAATGGAATGTTTTCAAAATTCCAAGTACAAATTGGGAATAGAAACCCATACTAAAGATTGAAAATAAAAATTTTATTTTAATTTTTTCTGCGAAACTAAAATTATTTTTTGTCAATATATATAATTATTGACTGGCCGCAACAAAGCAAATATTAAAACTAGCATGCAAAAATTTTAATTTAACTTAATTGATGATTGATATTTAAAAAAAATTCCAGGTGATCTTCGTAACCGAATGCTCGCCCATTAACGAGGATTACATGTATGGAAAACAGGGTCTAATGAAGGGACTGGTCCCACGAGCTTTTGTCGAAATGCTTGACGAAGAGCACGATGTCACCCTTTAAGCCATCCAAATTGTTAAGCAATAATCAATCAATAATCTCAACTAAAAGTAATGAACAAAAAAATACTCCAAGTAATGGTACAGCAATACTCATACAATTAAAAAAGAAGAACTGAAGGAGAGGAGGGCTAGCAAGGCAATTGGACAATTATAAGATGCAGCCAAATTGGCATTTGACACTAGCAAGAGAGTACAATAATTTATTAGAATATACATACATAAATATATACAAGGCATATACATACTTTCAAGGGCGTGTTATTAAATAAAGCATTGTAGTTGAGGCCTCGTTGAACCTTATACCCTGATGCTTGCCCAACCAGCTACGCTACTCACTTGCACAGATCACGCGCATAGCTGTAATCAAATATACATTTTCTGCTGCCTGAATAACCGTCAAGTTGTATTTATAAATATATATTACAGATCAATTTTATAATTGTTAATAATTATTGCATATCTAAAGAGAAAGTGCTGTTTGATAAAACTTCTCTTCACTCAACAAAGTATTATATTGTGTTATGTTTGTCTTTATCTCAGTTAACAAACGAAATTCTCTGTGCTTTACTATATATCCTATTATTATACCTAAATGTATCAGATTGTTAATCCTATTATCTATATAATCAGCAAAGCGTTTCCAGTTTAAGCTAACGATTATCTAATATATTTAATCCTGCCGCAATTATTATGTTACAAAATTTTTCGTGCAATTTTCGAAAGTCAATTAAATGAATGTTGCTTCTTAAATTTAAGGCAAAACCCTGAAACACCAAGGCGAGACTAGCGCTTATTAGCTACAAAAAACTGAAAAATATTAAGAAAAACGTACAATACGAGAACTACAAAGTAAACAACGATGATTTTTAGGTTTTCAGAAAAGAAACAAAGTTGTATCATGAAAAGCGTCTAGAAGCGAATTTTTAAAACACAGTAATTAAACAATTACAAATATATGATGAAAGTGAAAAACAAAGTTTTGTTCATTGCAATCAAGGTTTTTGAGTTTATTTGGCATAAAAAATAGTTGTTTGAAACCTACAAAGATAACTAACAGAAATTTAAAATTGAGAGGTATTGTCATCATAATATCACATTATAAATTACTAACATTAAAGTGAAGTGCTCCACCAGATGAATCAGCTGTTCCCAGGATAACAAAAAGTCCCAAAAACTGAAAACTTTACTACGCACTAGACTTTTTAAGTACCCTAACGAAGCAGTAAATTGTGGTAGAAATATTTGGTTGTATCGTTGGAAAAATTTTTGTATTATAAATATTATAAATTCGGATGGCTAAAAGATTGTGCCAAATTTGTTTGTGAAGCACCCAATTCTTAACACCTAAACTTGTTGTTCAGACTTTTTACAATTGAAAAAAGACCTTTTTTAAAAGAAGAAGACCACTTCCGACTGTGCTGCTAATTACTTAGAAACATTGAGGCCAACGTATCCACATATCTTCATATTAATATTTTTTTATTTTATTAAGGGTAAAGTATTGAAAGCACAACTTAATTACAACGTAATTTAAAACTCTTCGTCTAAAGAGCAGTCCGAAAAGTAAAAATTAAATTCATCCCCTTTAATAGCCAATTTCAAATCCAATTCATTTTTCAAATTCATGCAATACATCCCGTCGGCGCCTTTTATTCGAATGATATCTTCGGGCACGAGTTCAGAACTCTAAAAAATATACATTAATTACATTTAAACTTAAAAAGCATCGCATACTTACTGTCATGTTGAACTTCTTAATTTGCTCGTCATTCATAGATAACCATAGTTCAATAGGCAGCTTCCTCTGAATCTCCTTGCTCCTTGTCACAATACCAAGTACCAGATTTGGGTTCGGCTGGTCGCATTCATTGAGTCGCAGGTGGTTTAATCTGGGGCTGACGCAGAACAGATGCAGTATTATGGAGACACTTTCGCTGTTGTGCCTGAAGCAGAACTTTTCCAAGTTCTTAAGGTTTGCAAGCTCCTTAACCACATCAACGTCCACGTGAGTATAGGGCAGTAGGAGGGCACGAAGGCTGCTAAATCTGGCAACTTGTAGAAGATGTTCTCTGGGCAAAGAGAAACCACATATTTTCAAGTGTTCAAGCTGCTCCGACTTGTACTCTACCAACTTCCTTTTAAGAGATAGACTCAACCAATTCAAAGAAACAATTCCTGTGAAATAAGAATGGTAATGGCATATGCTCAGGTGCTTCAGTTTGGGCAGTTGTGGCAGAAACTCATATGTGGTATATGGAAACGCTGTTACCCGGAGCACCTCCAGTGAAGGACAACAATTATCCGTCACCATTATTTTAAAAACTCTTAATGGTGATGTATTCACATTCTGTATGTTGAGTTCCCTTAGTTTAGGCAAACGCCTACACATCTCGGGCAGGTATTTGGCTTCCAAGTCCCGACATTCGTTAAGGCCCAATACCTCAATGGAGACCGGTAGTTCAGCCAAAGTGCTCCCTGTTAGGAAATTATTGCTCAATGTTAATTTCTTTAAATTGATCAGGTTTTCAAGATCCAAAAGCAGTTCGTTGGCTATATTTGCGTTGTGCAGCTGCAGCTCCTCCAGTTGATTCATATTGGCAAATATAGTGTGCATGTGCAGCCCGATTCGGGGGCTGCACACCACCTGGACGCTCTTCAGATTCCTGCAATAATCTCTTATAAACTGAGCATGCCGTTCCGAGTGATCCGCTTCGAATTTACCATAAAGGACCTGTATATGAGCCCCGAATAGTTGAAAGTAGTATCGAATGTCCCATACGGTCATGTTCAGGAATTGACCCAATTCAACACAAGTGTGCAGCCTGGCCATGATGTGCTCCAAACAATAGTCATTAAGGTCCAAGATGAGCGATAGTCCCTGGAGTTCCTCCGGGGATGATCCGTAGGCGTCCGGCTGGTCCCAACTGTCGCTGGCCTGTACCAGGAACTCTATCCCATTCACTTTATGATTACAAGTGCGCAGGGATCTGGGAAGGGGTTTTAAATGAATTGAGGGGTTTAAATGAATGGTAAACAAGAGAGTCATACTCACCTAGCTGCATCTTTAACATTGTCAAAAATCACATAGCCACTTTGAAACAAGGATGAATCATTTGAAAACATTTTGATTTCCAACACAGCTCCGAAGAGTTCAAAGTAAGAGCACAAAGAACAAAAAAAAATGGATGGAACTCAAATAAATCTGGACAAGTTATATCTACCTTGGATGGAGCATCGTACCAAGATATTTTTTTTACTGGAACGCGATTTCGTCCATGGTTAATAAAGCCAGAGGAGCGTTTGGACTTATTAAAAGGTGGTCAAAAAAATTCGATGATCCTTATTTAACTAAAACTTTATTTATTTCGCTAGTCCGTCCGATTCTGGAGTATGGGTATCCCGTTTGGAGTCCACAATACGGAATACATATTGGTCGTATTGAATCTGTACTTTTTTGCTTTACCTTTTTATTCTAGTAAGAACGATGCTTGGTACTATCTTTATTTATAACCTTATACATGGTGATATTGACTGCCCCGACTTGATAAGTCGGCTAAACTTTTCTGTGCCAAGTATATTAACTAGAAATTATATTCCCCTAATTTTAAATCATTGTAGATATAACTATGCCTTGCATGAGCCTTTCAGAGTATTATGTACTGACTATAATAGACTTTTTCCTGTAATCACAAATCTTGACTCTCTGCCGCTCCTAAAACGTGTAATACTTGCTTCATTGGCACAAGATTGATCTTACTATTACTTTTTTTCCCGGACCTTTACCTTAAGTTTCAAGGAAATGCATGTGTTGCTAGTTGCTGCGGAATAAAAGTAATCGTTTATTTCTCAGCCCAGACCCAAGTCCACTGGAGCGAGCAGCCTTGCTGATACCTCGCAGTAGACGGCCCGGAAAGCAAGCAGATCCTAGCAAATCGAACCTGATTTCGTAGTCCCAGTTTTACCATGATGCGCTCCAAGCAATAGTCATCAAGAACCAAGATGAACGAAGAACGTTGGCCCCACAGATTCCGATTAGAACCGTATTTTCTAAAATACGCATTTAACACTTTTTTGTCCATCTGGACAAACGCCAAAGGATTAAAGAGGGGACTTGAATAAATCATCATGATCATATCATCAAAAACACCACTTTGTTGGTGAAAGATTTTAAATACAACAAATATCATAATAATTAGCTTATATTAAAGTAGTATTTCCTTAACGACCGAAGGGCTGAATCGTTGAAAATGTTCGACAAATGATGGAAAGGCACAAAATTAACTTGCTGTTGTCAAGCTGCTGACTTGCGTAACTGCTTAAATTTAAATACACTATAAATAACTGAAACTGAATTTGATTTCCTTTTAAAAAAAATATACTCTGGTTTTTAAAGATTCAACAGCCTAGAAAATTGTTGAACTGCTCAAATCTCTTAAAGTTGAAATTGTAAGTACAAGTAACTACAATTCAACCATTCAGCAATTCGATGAATTAGCGAATACACAGCAATTACAATTTCTTCATGAATATCTATCTTAATAAGTTGTACCCACAAAATACTACATACAATTCTTTTTACCAGATTCCCAAAACCTTATATTATCTCAAGCTTAGAACGGTCATTTAATTCGCATTAAAAAAATTGTTTCTTTTTATTTACGATTCCTTTTTTATTTGGCAATGAGATTTAAAATTCCATTTGACAATGAAAATAAATATTGATTATTTTTCCTGAAATGAATACTTTGTTTCAGTGGTTGTTGAGATTTAACGGTAATCAATCTGGAGTGTCAAATAGAAAAAAATTAATTTTTAGCAAAATTTGTAAGAAAGATAAACGTACCCGAATCGTCGCCAAACAGTCCCAAGCCGACAAAGTCTCCATCACTGTCGTATGGCCACGAGGGATGAACGTATCCGTATCCAAAATCAAAATCCAAGTCGTCATCGTCATCACTTACCGAATAATTAGGTGACAAATCAAATTTGGCGGATTCATCGTATAGTATTGTGATAATATCTTTGGGCACTCTAACAGGATGCTGAAAGTCGAACGTCAGACAATGTTGTTTAAGAAAATGGTCTTGAATAAAACAATAACAAACTAAAGCTATCAAATTCGTTTTTGTGGCCTTTGATTTAAACTAATTAATATATTGGGCCGTTTTTTTGCGGATTTTAAGTAATTTTGAAAATCTCTAGAAAAACCGTTAATATAAATGCCCAACATTTAATACTAGAAAAATATACCGGATACAAATGGTTGAAGGCTGTGATGATAAAATCGTTGTGGGTGATTGGGAATTTGGTCACACTTAAATCTCTTGGTCCAAAGGGCGATTTAACAATAATTAGAAATTATGTGGAGGTATAGCACGAAATTAGCAGGAAACGCTACGTTCTGCAGGCGAATTGCGACGCATAGTCCCAAGTTGGGGGCGGAAACCAATCGAAGCAAGGACAAGGCAAGTGAGAATGGGTCTTTTATGGCCAACATATTTCGGGGGTCCTTGGAGTCAAGCCAAGTGTTCCCGTATCCGGATGTGCTGAGCTCGGATCAGAAGGAGCTGACCAACAGCCTGATAGACCCGTTTGAACGATTCTTCGCGGACGTCAATAACGCCGCACTGAACGATGCGAATTCCAAACTAGATGACACCACGGCGACGGCTTTGTGGGAACTTGGGGCCTTTGGAATCCAAGTGCCGTCTGATTACGGCGGCCTCGGTCTGAATAATACCCAGTACGGCAGACTGTGCGCAATTGTAGGTGCCAATGATCTGGGACTGGGCATCACGATTGGCGCCCATCAGAGTATTGGATTCAAGGGAATCCTTTTGTACGGCACCCCGGAACAAAAGGAGAAATATCTGCCCAAAGTGGCCTCCGAGCAAGTCTACGCGGCCTTTGCCCTCACGGAGCCAAGTTCCGGATCTGATGCTGGATCGATTCGGTGTCGCGCTGTTAAAAGCGCTGATCAAAAGTACTTCGTGCTAAATGGTTCGAAAATTTGGATATCTAATGGTGGAATAGCTGAAATAATGACTGTATTCGCTCAGACCGAGCAGGTGGACCCAAAGACTGGCGAAAAGAAGGACAAGGTTACTGCGTTTATTGTGGAACGATCTTTTGGAGGAGTTACCAATGGACCACCAGAGAAAAAAATGGGTATCAAGGCATCAAACACTGCTGAAGTTTACTTTGAAGATGTTAAAATTCCAATTGAAAATGTGCTTGGCAAGGAAGGGGATGGATTTAAGGTTGCCATGAACATATTGAACAACGGTCGGTTCGGAATGGGTGCCACGCTCTCGGGAACAATGAAAAAATGCATTGAATTGGCCACCGATCATGCCAACAATCGTGTGCAATTCGGGCAAAAACTAAAGAACTATGGATCCATTCAAGAGAAGTTAGCCCAAATGAATATTCTGCAATATGCCACGGAATCAATGGCGTTCACCATTTCGCAAAACATGGACGCCGGCAGCAAGGACTATCACTTGGAAGCCGCGATATCAAAGATCTATGCCTCGGAGAGCGCCTGGTACGTTTGCGACGAGGCCATTCAAATTCTGGGCGGCATGGGATATATGGTGGAAACAGGTCTAGAACGAGTCCTGCGCGACTTGCGTATTTTCCGCATATTCGAGGGCACAAACGACATTCTTCGGCTGTTCATTGCACTGACGGGCATCCAATATGCGGGGTCCCATCTCAAGGAACTGCAGCGAGCATTTAAAAATCCCTCCGCCAATTTGGGACTGATTTTCAAGGAAGCCTCAAAGCGTGCTGCATCGACGGTCGGTTTGGGAGGCACCGATTTGAGTGTTCACGTAGTGGATGAACTCCTACCCTATGCCAAGAAAACAGCCCATTGCATTGACCTTTTCGGTCAGTCGGTGGAAGAACTATTGCTGCGATACAACAAAAATATAGTAAACGAGCAAATTTTGCTAACACGACTGGCAAACGCTGCCATTGATATATACTCTATGGTTGTGACGCAATCACGATCATCTCGCGCTGTAAGTCTTAATCTTCCAACTGCGCAGCACGAGCTTAACATGACCAAGGCACTGACCATTCAGGCCTCTGATCGAGTGATCAAGAACCTGCAGGCTGCCACTTCTAGGCATCACAAGGCCCTTAATGACAAAATATCCACAATCGCTTTAACTACCCTTGAAAATGGTGGTGTAAATACAACTGGAGTCTTAGAACAAAGTTAGTCAAATTTACATTAATACGAATTTAAAGCCTTTGAATGTTTTTTTAAATATGAAATCAAAAAAAATATTGTAAATAATGAAACACGAAACAATAAAGTAAACCTCACTTATTTACTAAAATCGAAAACGTTCTTAAGTCGGGCTCTAAACTAGTAAATGAGTGCTAACCTAAAGGAGGTTTTCATTTCATAGCAAACAAACATACAAACAAAAGGTTGAAAATCACTTACCTCCTGGATGAGAGTTTTTTCGTCGTAGTCCAATTGTAAGGTTCCCAGTTGGATGGGTAACTTTCGATGCATCTTCTTGTTGTCCATTTCCTTGCGCACCTGGCCCACTATGTCAAGTACCAACCTGTGGGTCAAAATCTCGCAGTTCTCCAGATACAGGTAGTCTAGTTTACGACAGGAGCGAAACAACTTCAGGACCGCAAAATCGCTTACGTTTCCCGATTGTCGGAGGGTGAACTGCTCTAGATTGACAAGACTAGAGAGTAAGACAAGGTCATTGTCAGACTTAACATGGCTAACAATTAGAGTGTGTAATCCTTCAAGTTTGGAGATGTGGATAAGCATTTCCTTTGTCAACTGTATGGGACCAAATATTTCAAGTTTTTCCAACTGTTTAGACTTGTGCTTCACCAGCTGCTCGAGTAGCTCTATGCGAAGCCCATCCTCGAAACTCGTATATATAGTCAGATTCTTCAAGCTGGGCAATTGCGCCACAAGCTCGTACTTCTCGTCTTCGTCGACGGTGATCCGCAGGGTCTCCAGCAAGGCAAAGGACTTGTCCTGAATTATAGTTTGGAAGTCCACAGAACCGTCAACTATATCGATAATGCTAAGTTTCTTCAGCTGGTGTAAGACCTTGCCAATCGCTGTAAGGTAACCACCACATAAGCCGCAGTCGTTAAGTGACAACGACTCTATGGTGACCGGTAACTTGGCCAGCGTAGAGCCGATTAACTGATTGCCATCTAAATTGAGCGTCTTCAGGCTACGCAGATTTCGCAGGGTCAAGAGAGAGTCGTCCTCTATATTCGAATTCTGTAGTTCCAGCGTTTCCAGCTTGTGCATCTTGGAGAATATTTTGTGCATGTTGGGCAAGATATTGTGACACTTGAACAATTTCATTGTCATAAGATTAGTGCACCTAAGGGCCAAGAAGTTAGTTAGCCGTTCCGAGTTGATCATGGGCAACACGCCCATCAACTTCTCTACATGAGAACCGGACAGCTCAAAAAAGTCGCGCATGTCCCAGACGGTCATGTTATTGAACTGGCTCAAGTTCACCGACTTGTGCAGCCGTGTGGTGGCCATCTGGTAGATGCCCCTAAAGCGTAGGCAGCTCCTGGCAAAGTGCACCTGATCCGGCAAAGTTAGGTACTGGAAAACATGCTCTAGGCAGTGGTCATTGAGAATCATGATAGCCGGCGGCGATGGGTGCTCCGTGTTGGGCAGGATCTCCGGCGGATCACGGGACATTCCATAGGCTTCCGGCTGGTGCCAGCTGTCACTGGCCATCACATTAAAACTAGTCCCGTGCAGACGATGGATTCGGCGGTTCAGGGCTCTGGCAAAAAATGGAAAGGAGGTTGGAGCTGGGAATTCACAGTGATTAAGAACGTACTTGGCGGCACATCTTTTTTTAGCAAACAAAACGAAGCCGGTCAGTCTGCGCCAGCGTTCTCCACTCTTAGGCTTGAAGACCTCCAGACGAAGCACGCGTCCATAGATCCCAAAGTAATGCTCAAGCATTTTTTTGTTCAACTTCTGGAGAGAATCAACAATGGGTTAACGAGGTACCCAAAGGCCCAGAAAAACGCTACCTTCGGCAAAACATTGTAAATGTGGACCTTCTGCACGGGAATGTGATCCTCGGTGTAGGCAATCGAGTCCTTGAAATAGTAGTTTCGATAGGCTAAAATAGAAACTTACTAGTTACAACTAGCAACACATGCATTTCCCTGAAACTTACACGGATCTTCCAGAATATGAGTCATATTTGATTCCGCTTTTGTGCTGATAATCTCTGCCTGTGCTCGGAATTGGATATTAATTTAAAAATCAAAGCTGTCAGTTCCAGTGTGACCGAAGGAGGTTTCAGAAAATATCAGATGAGAATATACCATTCCAAATTATGGCAAAATGGTTTTTGGATCGAAATTCAGAACATGGTTGTGAGGGTAGGGTTCTAAAACATCTGTTTTTTCAGTGTGGTGTTCAAACCCGGCGATCTTTATGGGATTGTTGGCGAGTCGATCAGAGTACGGAGTTGATGGAGGCAGCAGTCTTGAGAAAAAGCAGGTGTCCATATGTGCCAAAGTCAATAATAATAGAAAACGAAACAGCCGCTTAAATTAAAGTAGTAATCCGGAACATTATCCGTCGGCCGAAGATTCGGATCTCGAAAGCTGGGTTGGACCAAAAGTTGTGGTGAGTGGGTTCATTGTGATACCTGATGGTGTATCCCTTGTATGATCATTTTTTAAACGCTTTGTTTTTTGCTTAGCAATTGTCTAGTATAGCACCGATGCCATACAACCGATCTTCGATAACTAATATATAACTTATATGTAAATATGTAAATTAAAAAAAAAACGGTCCAAGGGGAAACTTTTTTTATTTTTTGTATAGGTAAAGGCCGTTACACCGTGAAAATCATGCCCTATTTTTTAAGGTTTACATGAGTTATATGTTATTCAAGTCGTTTCTTAAGAAATCGCAATTACCCAGTTCTTGAATATAAGAATCTTTATTATTTTGACAATAAAAAAAAAATCCTGGTGTACGTTTTTTCTAAGAAATCGCCGTCCATTGGGGATACTTTTCTCGCAATTTTTGGAGTTCTTCGCTCTCAACTTTTATTAATTATACCCATTCTCAAGGAGTCTAGAGTAAAGGGGTATATTGTATTCGTTGGAAAGTATGTAACAAGAAGTTTTAAGGAATAGATATTCTTGATCAGGATCGTTAGCCAAGTTGATCCATGTATGTATGTCCGTCCGCATGCACGACGAGATCTCGGAAACGGATCCTGATATTTGAGCTTTATCATGAAGATTATAGTTTTCTTACGCAGCACAATATGTTGCCACGTCCACTCTAACGCCCAGAAACCATACAATTTTTTTTAGAGACCTGTTAGAGGTAAGTTATTAAATTATTTTTTTTTAATTGGTTAGCTGACTAACGGGTATCTTAAAGTCGATCCTCTCGACTATTTCGTTTTTAAATGTTTTTTCACAATCATTGCATGAAATTTTAAAGCATGTTCATATGTACATATGTATGTATTTTTATTATTGAAATATTTTTGGAACTTTATAGTTACTGCTTAATTCCGAAAATAAAAAAAAGACAGTGGTCGCCCACTAAATAACTGGCCAATCGACTTCTGCCTATGACACAATTTTAAAAATGGCATACTTCGTGAGCAATCCAAGTAAGTTAATCAAATAGATTTTAATCTACTTACATATGTAAAAACACTTATTTCCTGATTGCAGCTGAACCAAATTACTACTTTATAGACTCAGTTGCCTACACAGAGGATCACGTTCCAGTAAAAAAACTATGCTGGTGCGATGCTCCGTCCAAGGTAGATATAACTTGTCCTGGTTGATTTGAGTTCCATACAGTTTCCTTTGTTGTTTCTCCAGCTCAAGGAAAGCACATTGTGCTCTTACTTTGAACTTTTCGGACCTGTGTTGGAAATCAAAATGTTTTCAAATAATTCATCTATGTTTCAAAGTGGCTATGTGATTTATGACAATGTTAAAGATGCAGCTAGGTGAGTGTGACTCTCTTGTTTACCCTTTATTGAAACCCCTCAATTCATTTGAAACCCTTTCCCAGAGCCCTGCGCACTTGCAATCATAAAGTGAATGGGATAGAGTTCCTTGTAGAGGCCAGTGACAGTTGGGACCAGCCGGACGCCTACGGATCATCCCCGGAGGAACTCCAGGGACCATCGCTCATCTTGGGCCTTAATGACTATTGTTTGGAGCACATAATGGCAAAACTGGAACTGCAAGATAAGGTGCGTTTTGCCAAGACTTGTCTGCGTATAAGGGCGATCTTCAAGAGGGAATCAGCCAGGCTGCACACTTGTGTGGACTTGGGTCAATTCCGGAACATGACCGTATGGGACATTCGATACTACTTTCAACTATTCGGGGCTCATATACAGGTCCTTTATGGTAAATTCGAAGCGGATCACTCGGAACGGCTTGCTCAGTTTATAAGAGATTATTGCAGGAATCTGAAGAGCGTGCAGGTGGTGTGCAGCCCCGGAATCGGGCTGCACATGCACACTATATTTGCCAATATGAATCAACTGGAGGAGCTGCAGCTGCACAACTCAGATATAGCCGACGAACCGCTTTTGGATCTTGAAAACCTGATCAATTTAAAGAAATTAACATTGAGCAATAATTTCCTAACAGGGAGCACTTTGGCTGAACTACCGGTCTCCATTGAGGTATTGGGCCTTAACGAATGTCGGGACTTGGAAGCCAAATACCTGCCCGAGATGTGTAGGCGTTTGCCTAAACTAAGGGAACTCAACATACAGAATGTGAATACATCACCATTAAGAGTTTTTAAAATAATGGTGACGGATAATTGTTGTCCTTCACTGGAGGTGCTCCGGGTAACAGCGTTTCCATATACCACATATGAGTTTGTGCCCCAACTGCCCAAACTAAAGCACCTGACCATATGCAATCCGCTCACAAATTACCCCGCATTTACCGACTCACTGTGTCGAATTCTTATATGTGAGTTGGTAAAGTACAAGTCGGAGCAGCTTGATCACCTTGAAATATTGGGTTTCCCTGTACCCAGAGAACAGCTTCTACAAGTTGCAAGACTTAGCGGCCTTCGTGCCCTCCTACTGCACGATACCGAGGTGGACGATGTTGTGCTTAAGGAGCTTGCAAACCTTAAGAACTTGGAAATGCTCTACTTCAGGCACAACAGCGAAAGTGTCTCCATGATAGTGCATCTGTTCTGCGGCTGCCCCAGATTGAACCACCTGCGACTCAACGAATGCGACCAGCCGAACCCAAATCTGGTACGTGGTATTGTGACCCGAGTGCACCAGGAGATCGCGAGCAAGGAGGATCAGAGGAAGCTACCCATTGAACTATGGTCATCTATGAACGACAAGCAAATTAACGATTTCATCCAGTCAGTAAGTATACGATAATTTTAAAGTGTGCAAATATTAAGTGAGTTTTAAATGAATTTCATATTTATTGAAATCAAACTTTTTAGTTCCCCCTTAATTCAAATTAAAAACAACTTACTTTTTAAATTTTAGGTTCCAGATTTGAAGCTCGAAGGTATCATTCAAATGAAATGCACAGATGATCAATGAACGAGACTCTTTAGAAGATGGTTAGATCAGAGTTCGACCTTACCGTATAGAAAGTAAAACATGTAACTTCAACTTTTTATAGTCGTTTTATGGAATGTTACATGTTGTTACAATATTAAACTGCAAGACATAATTATCTTCAAAATGTGTGCTATAGTTTTTCAAAGATTTACTGAACAAATTACTGGGTATCTCTTGGATTTCCATTTAAAATTTTATTTTTTGTTTTGATCTCCAAAATCTAATATACTTACTTTTATTAAACTCAAAGAAGTATTTGATTGTGTGGCACCAACTTTTAAAGCGGTTCAACGCCAAATTGAAACACAATCATGCATTCTCTTAAATTGCAGTTTAATTATGCCACTTTTAAAAATCTTACAAAAATTCCTTGCCAGCTGACCTTTTCTATTTGTGTTTTAGAAAATTCAAAAATCATTTATCTCTTACCTTAATATTTACAAAATGTACAAGGCTTCTTTACAATTAATGTTTCCTAGTTTCAGTTGATGCGACGGTACTAAAAGTCTTTGCTTACAAATTAAAATTATGATATTGGCTTAGCTAGTACAGAAAATACAATAATTGCTGCCAGCAGCGTTTGGGCTAAATATTTTCTTACACCTTTTTACAATTTCTAAGTTCAAGTTACTGAAAAATAAAGCGAAATAGTATTAACAATTTATATATCTCTGGAGTTGTCTATTTTATATTTTTATGGTGAGCGTTTAGCCGACTGTCATGAGAGTATCCAGGAGTGTATAATACCTGCACAGCGGGGAAAATCAATCAATACGGATTAGTTAACAGATATTTAAGGCTTTACTTACGATTTTCGCCTGGCGAGAGAGTTATATGTATATCCTCACGACTCAGTATAGGGGCTAAAAGTAAACATTTGGCCAAAGCCCACACACATGTATATTTTTTGCGTTTTACCAATCAACGTGTAAGACAACAACTGGCGAAGCTTGTGTAAATATTTAAATAACGTTCTTTATTTATTTTTAAGGTCGCTAAAAATAATAAACTCTGTTTTTCGATGGCTTAAACTAGTTTAACGGTTAGGGGTTACTGTTAAAGTTAACGGCCTGAGGCTGAGGCGATTGCAAGTAATATAAATCAAATAGAATAATTTAAGCAGGTCGCGCTTAAGCAAGTCGTTCCCGTCCTTCCGATTTCGCGTTCACTAACGTTGTCGTTTGGGACATGTCTTTCAGGTTGAGCCATGCAGTGGATAAAGCACCTGCTGTCTACTAAATTAAATGCTATCACAGTATCAAAGTCGAGCATGCAGGAACTGTCGGAAGCGACCTCATGCACGTTAAGAGAACTTTGGGATCGTTTGCTGCAGCTTGTGGGTTATGTATGCAGGGCGTACGGCTGCTGGGGCGGCTGCTGTTGCTGCTCAAGGCTGCCGGGGGGCGTTGCTGCAGCAGCGGCCCCGCCTCCGGTGGGAACAATGCGTATCATACCCGGCTGGATCCTAACGTTCTCACAGGCCTCGCAAATATTTAGTTGCGGATGGTTGCGGAATGTACACATGTTGCAGGCCCACGAGTCCATTGGCTCCTCCTCCTCGTCCACATCGGAGTCGGACAAGAACTCCTCCTCCTGCTGTGGCGGCGGCTGCTGTTGCACCTGCTGCTGCAGCCGCAACTGTTGCTCCTGTATCTGCTGGCGCTGCTGCTGCAGATATTGCTGGAACTGATAGTACTCGGCATACGTGGGCGGCGGCTCATGCTGCAGCTGGAAATGCTGCTGCTGGCTCTGTTGCTGGGGCGTGAGGCAGGCCGAGGTCGGAGCACTACTGTGATGCTGTCCAAAGTCCAAGGACGGCTGCGAGGTGGGTGCCGCCGGCACCGAGTGCAAACGCAGCGAATTGGGCGGCGCCTGGGTGCGAGCACCTTGGCGCTGGCGCGGGAATGGCTGTGGCTGCGGCTGCTGCTGCTGGGGAGCATTGCTGCCGGGTGAAGGGTGCTGGCGACTCATAGAGTTTGCCGCGGGACCAGGGCCAGCCGCCTGCGGTTCTGTAAGAATGAGGAAACGAAAGTTAGCCGTGGCATCCATAATTGCAGTACAAGATTCTTACCATATATGCAGTCAAGCAGCCGATTACAGTCCTCAGTCAGTTGCATGATATCTCTATCCAGTCTTTCAGATTCGCCCAACGGCACCGGCTCGGTCAGGATGTTGATCTCCTGCTCCAGGACCAGCAGCTTCTTCTTGTTGTCCCTTAGCGCATTGGCCAGCTTGTCGCGCCGCTTCTTCTGCCGCTCAATGGTGGCGGCATGGACTAAAATAGAAATATACGAAAACTGATCAATCGAACGGCTTCGATATGTCTGGGTGGGCCTGCCTTGGCCTGGCAACAATTTAATGCCTTTCGCATTTCCAAATATTCCCTGCGGCTAGATTTATTTTTACTGTCTAATACCTCACATTTTATTACTCTGTTTTGTTGCTAAAAATAATTTCCTCACCACCCGCGCGCGCGTCCACCACAGAATGGGAGAGGTTCATAAACAGAATTTATATTTAAATAGATAAATTTAGTGAAATGCGCAAGCAAGCACAACCAAAAATCAATCTAATAATAATTTATTCCTGCGAAAAAATAGGTAAAAATAAATGAAAACAAAAAACACATAGACAAAGTCTTCAAATGCATTCTGTGTTTTGATTTGCGCGACTGTTCATTTGAATATTTTTAGACGCTTGATAGATTTCCACGGAAATAGCCAACAGGGCAGAGGGCCAAGGGATCTCTGATGTACAGTCAACACAATATTTATTCGGACACCCGTGATTTTGAATTTGATTCATTAATAACTCAACAAAAACGTAACGAAAACAAACAATTTATATTTCATCGTGAAGGTTAACATTCTTAGAATATATTTTAACAAAAAAATAAGGAACTTTCAACAGTAAAATTAGATATTTTCTTAAATGAACTTGAAAAGTCATAATTTTACGCACAGAAATTATTCGTACACTTCATATAATATTAATGAAAAAACATATTTCTTGTTGTTTTAATATTTTTAATATTTGGTGGGTCCTTCACTAACATCAATGACAGCTTGTAAGCGTCGACCCATGCTTTTTACCAAATTGCTTGTCTCATTAGCGCTAATTTGACCCCATTTAGCCATCAATGCAGTTTTTAAGGACTCCCTGGACGAAATGACGTGCTTCCGAATCCTTTTCTCAAGAATATCTCACACATGTTCTATGGGATTTAAATCAGGTGACTGGGGAGGTGTTTTCAGCTGCTTGCAGTGATATAAAAGCCACTCTTGCACCAAAGACGAAGAATGTTGTCTTGTTGAAACAACAATGTCTTCGGATATAGACCAAGTTTTATATCACTTGGAATCAAATTTTCGCTTAAAATGTTTTTGTACATATTCTTATTAATTTTGTCGTCAATAAAGACCATTTGACCGACTTCTCCTACCGATACACACCCCCAAATCATTACATTCCCGCCACCATGCTAAACAGTTGGAATTAAGTTCTTCTCATTCATGGCTTCATTTGGTTTCCTCCACACTTTCAAGGGCCCATAGTGTCCAAATATGTAAAATTTGGATTCGTCGCTAAAAACTACGTTCTCCCAAAACGAATCCGGGTGGTTATATGCAGTTTTCCAAACTCCAAACGCTTTTTTTTGTTGATGGCAGAAATTAATTGCTTTCGACGAGCAACTCTGCCATGTAAACCAGCCTTGTACAGGTAGTTTCGGATGGTTTGGGCTCAAACTTTTTTTATTTTCGCTTGATGTACATTCTTTTGAATTGTTGTAGATGTTGTTTTCGGATTTTTCAGGACTGTAGACATAAATTTCCGTCCCTCACGTGAATACAGAATCTTAGACCTTCTAGCTTTCTTGTGATTTGAAGCTCATTATTCCGTTTTTAAGTATTTTTGGATTATACTATGTATTGTGGAAGGTGATTTTCCATTAATACGACCGATTTCGCGATAACTACGATTTTCCAAAAATTAATTTAAGATAGATTTTCGAAAATCTAGTGACAAATCTTTAACTCCTTCCATTTTGACCAATCGTATCAAAAAAACACATAAAAACTAACAAAAAAAAAAAAAAAAGCACGCCGAAAATTACTCCGAAGTAATTTCAACTAAACTACCTTAAAAAGAATCGCCGATTACCGTTGAGTTCAGAAATAAACACAATAAATGAGAAATGTACGAATAATTTTTGTGCAACATTTTAGCAATTTTTTTGCTTTCCTTTCAATATTTTTAAAGCTAATTTAAAAAATTAAATTTTTGTTTGTGTAATGTCTTCTGAAAATCACTCTTTCTATGATACGTACAAAAAAACCTGCTAAAATTACGAAAATTCCGGCAAATAAGCTGTTAAACTTGATAATAGACAGTGTCCGAATAAATTTTGTGCTGACTGTATGTCTATGTGCCAAATATGGCACATCATTATGCGTGAAACGCTGGCATCTTAATTGATAAATTAATTCATTAATGCCCCTCGCTTTTCCGAATTCCAAAATGTTCTGCCTAAGTGAAAAATTATCCGCCAATCCGAACGACATTTAAAGTGGTTTCCCGTGATCGCGTCGCGTGATTAAATGTCAAAGTGTAAGTGCCTTCTTGGCCCACGCTGCGTATGCTTAATACCTTAGGCGATTAAACGGAGAGATTTTCCGTAGCGCTCTTTTTCCTTTGTTTCTCTCTGGTTTTCACACCCACACATTTCGCCCTGAACTTGAACGTCTCGCGACGAAAACAAATTGAAAACGTCGCAGAAAGAGCGGCAAAAGCAAACAGGGTATAAATAAAGTGAAAAGTCAGATAGGAGGCCAGAAGACATTTACATCTTTAAAATTTCGAACGCGTGGGCTTCCTATATGGATAAGGTTTGGTATTTATTTGTAAGATGCAAAAGAGGCAATTGAAATGGAACAGAGTTGAAAGTCATAATTACAAATTTTTAGACTTCTCTTTGTCCAAACTACGGAAATTAGCTTTACATATTCGATACGATTAACATCACCATAATGACAATGGCCTGGCATATAAAATACTCGTTTAATATGACTTCATCTCTTGATTTTACTTCACTTTTCTATAATTCACAATCACTATCGCCTGCTGATAATTGACTTTTTCCCACATTTCATGACGTCAATATGTTAGCTTATATTTTAAGTGATTCCGTAACCGCTGTTTCTTGACTTTTATCCCTTATCTAGTACACCTCCTTCATCGATCATTACTTCGGGTAACCCCTGGCGCCTTAAACTCATCCCTTGAGGCCATATAAATTTGCCAATATTTTCCATGTTTGCGGATCATAAGACAGTCCAGTTCCCGCTAATTCTATTTCAGGGCGTAATTCCATTTCCTTATCAAGTGTAAACAATATTGGGCGAACCTGCGCACTGATAACCGAACTGAGGAGCCCAACTACGACGTCGACTGGTTGGCTCGATAAGCAATGGAATCCAACACGCCTCGGAACACAATAAAATGAGGAAATGTTGATCCAAATTATCGAAAGTTCGTATACTCTTATCAATTTTTTTTTGGATCCATTTAAGAATTTAAAAAAGATTTTTTTTTGTAAAAGTTTTAAAAGTTCAAAGTTGTTGCAGTTGTTTTTTAAAAATGGTTTTAAACTGAACCATTTGAATGTACATATGTCAAATGTTTACAATTTGATACACATATATGAACAAAAAAAAATGTTTGTGCGGATTTCTTATTGTGACGAAATTCTACTCCTAAGTATTAAACAATTTTTTGCGCTACTGAGATTTTGCTTCTATACCAGCTGTATAACCCAGACTTAATAAAAAATTTATGTTTGATTAATTTCTAGAAAATTGTTTGCGTAGAAACAAAACAGATAGACATAAGTTTAGATTAACTGTGTATATGTTGGGAATATTGTTTTAATCTTTTTTCTGATTTGCAAGCTTTTTCTACAATGTAGAATAACTTTTTCTAGAGTATAACAATTGAAAATGGCCATAAAAAAGCACTTGATCAGGGCACATGTGCCTTTCTACATTCGTGTACTATATATACATAGTATAAACAGCAAACCAACCCCATTGGAGTAAACCTACCTTCGCGGTCGCACTCCTCCAGGACTCCTTCGTAAAGCGGCATCGTGGGACTACTGTCCACGCTGCTGCTGATCCCACTGTTGTTGTTGTTATTGCTGACTGCATAGTTGTTGCTGTAGTTGGAGGCCACAATGTGGTTCTGCTCCTGCGTTGGGTACGGGAACACGTCGGTCGACATCTCGGGGTCACCAAGACCATCGGCCACCACTGCTGCTGGCGCCGGAGGCTGGTGATTCGCCGGCACACTTGAAACCGGCTCACAAGCGGCGGCGTACGGCCTCCTCGGGCGGATGCAGCCCGCACTGAAGACGCTGCCCTCGTCCGTCACCGTCAGCTGAAAGTTCTTGTGTGTTCCACGACGCGCGTCAAAGCTAACACTGGAGTAGGTTATCCCACTGCCCTGACCACTGGGCGCCGGACCAGCTGTGATGTCGATGGCCGATTGCGCCGATCCCGTCGGCTGGCGCAACGTGAGATTAAGCGATGTAAAGCTCTTGCGACCGCCAGCAGCACCAGGTGACGCTGCCGAGTTGGGCGAAGGAAGCGGCGGTGTTGATGTCGTCGTCGGCGGCAGAAAGTCACTGCTGCGAAAGTCGCGCGCGTACGGCGGCTCTGGCTGAAGCGTAATGACTGAGCGATGTCGCACGGGTGAGGGTTGTTGTTGCACTGGTGCGATTGCTGTTGACGCTCCCGCAACTCTGGCCGCTGACGGCGTAGGCGACGATAAGGAGACCGCATTTAACGAGAGCTCCGATTCGCTGGAGCTCATGGGGCTGGTGAGACAGGAGGAATCGTTGGAGAAACTGCCGGGCTTTGGCTTAGGCGGCGGCGGAAGTGGCGGTGCACGACGCAATGGCTTGCTCAAGGACGTTGGCGTCAGCTGGGGCGGCTGGTGATCATTCTGTTGACGCTGCTGGCGTTGCTGAATCTTCTGCTGGAGCTGTGTACTAAATTGGCGCTGCAGATTGAGCGTCGTGGGTCGTGGCCTGGCCTGTGGATTTGGATGGGGAGTAAAAACACTTGGCGGAGTAGCCTCTCCATTGCTCTGCCCCAATTCCGGATGCGGGGGTGCTACCCGCGACGGCTTGAGCGGCGTGGGAGGTTTGGCCTGCCTGTTGTGATTCTGTTGCTGCTGCTGCAACACCTTGGCCGGATAGCTTTGCACTGGGATGGGATGCAGGGCTAGCTCCTTCCTTAACATCTGGATGCAATTTTCGCGCTGATGGCAATTCTCATTGACGCATTGCGTCAGCATGGCATCGGGTATCGTGGGGAACTCCTGCTTCATCTCATGGAACAGGTGCATAATACTAATGTTGGTGCAATTACAGCTCGGCTTGGACTTGCCACTGGTGGCTTCTTGCTGCGGATGCGGTGGGTGCTCCAGCAGCTCCAGCTGCTCATTGCTCCCGTTGCGACTGCCGGGACTGTTTGTTTTCGGATTTTTACTTGGGTTTGGGTTCTGGTTCTGGGTCTGATTCTTGCGCTGAAAGTGCTGATTGATCGCTTCGGTTAGGGGGTTGCCCTTGCCGACAGGTTTGCCATTCAATTGGTGGGTGTTTGATCCGGGCGGCATTGGTGGTGTAGCCGCCATTTTAGGCCATCATCTGTCACAGCTGGAGACCTGGTGAAATGCATAAACAGACATTAGTCAGGTGCTTGGCTCTAATTCAATTACGGGGAGGAAAACAAATCGATTTTTTGGTTCACCCACTCGGGGTTATTTCATCACTAACTAAGCAAGTTAAGAGCATTTTTCCTATTTCATTTATTATTTTTTTCGAAATAATAAAAAAGCTGCGGATAAGCAGAGGCGGAGAGATTTCTCTGGCGAAATGACATGGGATATTTAAAAATATTTATGACACAACACAACCTAGCCGTGCCATATTGTCTATATCTCGCTTTGACTGACCAACAGAATCGGCCATTGTCAAGGATGGCAAAGATAAATAATCAGCCGAGTTATATAGTAAACACAATCGATGGTTGGAATAGATAAACTACTGGCGCCTTGTTGCGCTGATTGGGTAAACTATACACACAGTTACATTTTAATCTATAGAAAGGTTATAAACGATATTGAAACTATTTACCAATTTGGCAAGGCGCAAAAATAATTATATTATATTTATTGTAAATGTATTAGTATGGATTGATTATCTTGTTAAACATTGACAATTAAATATTTTTTTACAAATATTTTTAACAGTTTAAAGTTTGATTTGAATTATGAATTATTATAATATAATTCAATGTTATCGCATTTAAATACGGGAGTTTTTTTAAGAACTTACATTTTTTAAAATGTTGAAAAACTGTGTTAACTGTGTATTTGCGAAATATTTTTTGGCTTTTCTACCTATAGGGATTTTTTTCTTTATGTTATATATTTTTAAATGGGTTTAAGATTTAATATCAAACTATCACAATCACAAAAACTCTTTTTCACTAATGGTTTTTTAAGGAAACTTAAATATTTTTATTAGGCATAAATGCCTTAGTTTTAAGTATGTCGTTTTTTCTGGTTTAAATAAATTTATTTATTTTTTGTACATCTTTTTAAACACAATAAATAAATTCTTCATGTTTATTATTTATGAATTTAAATCGTTTGTTACACAAATCTCATACAGTTCTCGCGCAGCAAATATTTTCGAATATTTCAAGAAAAATTATTTCGGATTTTGGTTTGCTTTGAACACGTTTGAACGCTTTAAAGGCCAGCGAAGAACTGAAAACGAAATATCATGCAATTGCGAGAATGAAAGGCCTAAAAATCTTAAACTGATCATGAGCATAGGAAAGAAATATTTATGCTTGTGTGTGGGAAAGGTTTGAGAGAGCATAAACAAAAGATACATATTTATTCCCAACCAAAATGATTGAAATTTGAACTAATGCACATGAATACGGTGAATATTACACATACGCACCGTGGAACCAGTACGATTTGTTAAGGTGAGAAACTCAAAATAAATGTAAAAAAATAAAAGAACCCGTAACGAATCAATTAAATCATTAAATATTTTTGCCACACCAATACCAATCTGTTAAGAAAATTCGCTCTTTCTCTTTGCCTCTCTTGTATAAAAATAAATTTTTGTGTGGGTGTTTCACACTAACACCACAAAGCTACAAATATTGAATGAAATATTTGAAAAAAAAACACAGCAACAACAAAACCTCAGTCATATAAAAAACAATTTTAAAAAAATGAACATATAGGCAAAAAATTAATGATATTAGCTGAGCTAAAAGAGTTGAAAACGGTGGAAATAAATAAAAAAGAAAACGAATTCCCATCAAGGGGGATAAACATTTAATTGCTGTCCATCAGCGACAAAATGAAAATCGCTTAAATTAGCCAATGGCTTAGCCAAGTATTAGAACCGCCCTCGCAGATCTACTTTTTTCTGACACAATAAATAAAAACAAATAATAAACTGAAACCAAACCATGTCCGAGAGACTAATCTATAGGAAAAATGTATAATTCATTAAAAATATAAGCCACTAAATTCGCAGCGATGGCGCCTTTAAAATTGGCCAGCAAAACCCAAATAATAAATTATAACTTTATGTATATTTCCCACTTTCCAGTTGCTGTTTATTTTAAATCGAAGCCAAACATATTTTCACCGGCGATAACAACATTTTTAAGTTGCCTGGGATATTAAGAACCCATTAAAGATAAACCCCAGAAAATTATGAAAACAATTCTTCTTGTCTTTTGGTGTTCTTGTTGTTCCATAAAATTCCACCATCATTCTGTGGGGTACTTATAGGCGGATGAGCGAAACACGTAAATTGCGATCTGATATTTGAAAATATTTAGCGTATAAATATAAACAAGTTCTCCTTTTTTTTTGGGGGTAGGAATTTCTTAAGGAAAAGAGATCAAATTGAGAGGAGGGGCGATAAGAGGGTTGAGGAGGCAATGAAAATTCATTTTGTGTTTTCTTTCGATTGCTTCGTTTTGTTTGCCAGCTTCGTAGCTTCGTCTGCCTCTTTCTCACATTTTTATACCCTTGCAGAGGGTATTATAATTTTGGTCAAAAGTGTGCAACGCAGTGAAGGAGACATCTCCGACCCTATAAAGTATATATATTCTTGATCAGGATCACCTCCTGAGTTGATATAGCCATGTCCGTCTGTCCGTCTGTCCGTCTGTCCGTCTGTCCGTCTGTCCGTCCGTCCGTCTGTCCGTCTGTCCGTCTGTCCGTCTGTCTGTCCGTCTGTCTGTTTCTACGCGAACTAGTCTCTCAGTTTTAAAGATATCGAATTGAAACTTTGCACACACCCTTATTTCCTTTGCACGCAGTATATAAGTCGGAACGGCCGGGATCGGCCGACTATATCCTATAGCTGCCATATAACTGATTGATCGGAAATGCCATAACTCTGCTGTTTGTTAAGTTAGGAAGTTGGGACTCTCTATGGGTATTATATTTGGCCAATCAATCCGACGTACCAAATTTCATAAGGATCGGCCGACTATATCCTCTAGCTGTCATATAACTGATTGATCGGAAATGCCATAACTTTGGTGTTTGTAAGTTAGGAAGTTGGGATTTTCTATGGGTTTTATATTTGGCCAATTAATCCGACCTACCAAATTTCATAAGGATCGGCCGACTATATTCTATAGCTGCCATATACATAACTGAACGATTGGAAATGCCATAACTTTGGTGTTTTTAAAGTTAGGAAGTTGGGATTTTTTATGAGTATTAAGAACGCATCATATGAATAATTTTGGAGAATATAATTTGCAGAATATTCTGCAAGGGTATTTCAACTTCGGCTCCGCCCGAAGTTAGCTTTCCTTTCTTGTTTTTCCTTATAGCGGGTGGCAGACAAACAACAACAAGAATGGGGCGATCGACTGCAGACGTAAACGACCTTCACAATTAGCCAGATATACATATGCAGGGCAGATAGACGAGATAGAGATACACCCATACAGACCCGGGGCCTAGAATGCACAAGCCAGAAAATCGGAAATCGACGTCAAATATTTTGCAGCCCCTAGTATATATAAGAAATTGAGAGTACTCGTGTGGAATGATAATGCTATGGATTCATTTGTTTCATACGCAAACACATAAATACACTGCGTTTCGGTTCTTAAAGAAATACTATCTGGTGATGGAATAAACCTTTATAGCTATCAAGTCTACAAAAGATTTTTTAACAATTGCATTTAAACGAAATCCAAAAAATGTACAATGTTTTTTTGTGAGAAATATTAAAAGCTAAATATTAGTCGAATAGTGTAAATAGATTAGAAAGGAAGCAAACTAGTTTGCGGTTAAACGGACAGACGAACAGGCGGACGAAAACACGGACATGTCTAGATCGACTCGCCTGGTGATGCTAATCAATAAGAAAATGTTCCCTTCACTGCTTTGCAAACTTTTGACTGAAATTATAATACCCTCTGCTTAAGTATACAAGACTAACATTAACTTAATTTTGAGAGCACATAATTTTTAAGAAATATTCCATTGGTGTAGACTTCTGAATTTCCGATTACATAAATTTGATAATAGACTTACATTTTTGCCACGCACTGTGAACTTATTCCACAGGTAAAAGATCATTTGTCTTTTTCTTTAGTTCGTATTTTATATTTTTGTGTTTTTTCGAGGACACGCAAAACAAACATAAAACCTGCTAAGAGCAATAATAATAAGAAAGAAAAAAACAAATAAAAGTTCACACTGTGTGCCAAAAACATACAAAACAAAAAAAAAAAACAAAAAGTTTACAAAGTCATTAAAATTATGGCAGCCTACGATTGTATAGGTATTTTGGATTGCGCGGGAGTAAAATATCTGTGGGTGGAGGCACTACAGGGAAAACTCTTGTAATTAGTTGAGCAAAATTTCCATTCATTAAAATGCCTTTGTAAAAATAATGGTGGGAGGCGGAAAACGGTGGGAGGTAAGTGAGCGCGTGTTTTTTGGCTGATTTACATAAAATTGTCTTATGGGAATTTCCAATGATTACATTTTGATATTTAAATGTTTGAACACATGTGAATCCGCATTACATGTTTAACAAAAGTGTGATTTTAATATAAATAAATGTATAGAAATCAAACAAATTTTTTATTTTTAATAATGTTTAATAATATTTAGTTGCTTTTTATAATCAAATGTACACATTAAATCAGAGTTTGTTGGTCATCAAAAGGTTAGAAGTTGAACACAACTTAGTATTAAAACAAATCTAATAAACAAAATAACACTATTATGATCAAGAAAGTCCATTTTTAAAGGTCAGAAGTTGAACACAACTTAGTATTAAAACAAATCTAATAAACAAAATAACACTATTATGAACAAGAAAGTCCATTTGCATTCTGTTAATTAATGTCGAACGAAAGCTATATGTGCGTGCCCAATGCAGACGTTTTGAAAGATTTACAGACAAACAAACTTGTAATCTTTCTGTCTATCAGTCTAATAAGACTGATAAAATCTACGCTGGACTTGGGGATTTACCGTTCCGTCAATTTAATGGATATGGGCGCCCTCAAAGTCTTTGAGGTATCGATGCGTATTGACCGGAAATCTCGCTGTCTGGCATGTCAAAAAATAAATATATATAAATAACAAAAAATTGCCAAAAATATTCTTGTGTACAAAAATAAGTTGTGAAAGGAACTACGTACTAAAGGCATCCTTCCCGCACCTTCAACTTGGTTTTGAAACACAAAACATATGGAAAAAAAGAACTAGCAAAATAAGAGATAACCCAAGAAGAGTCTGCAGTAAATAACATGGAAAACAACTTTCACTTTGTGTTGAAACAACAAAACGACTTGGAAATTAAATGAAAATAGAGAGAGGAACGGCAAGTATGTGAATTGTGAAAATTATAAATCAAAAGCAAAGACATGAAATAAAATGGAAGCAGCACACAAAATACCAAAAGACGAAAAATGGAACGAAAATAATTTTTTTTTTATATTTCGTATTTGTATTTTGGTGCTCGGCGCTTTCCTTTTGCTTTTCTTGCCTCGCCAATAATTTGAAGAGGCGTTTTGCGGAATTTTCTGCAGACGTCAGGCCTTGACGTCATTGCCGACTTCGAGAACGGAATATGGGCATGGGAATCGGAGGGGAAATGGAAATGGGGATGGGTTCGGGGATAGAAAGTCAACGTGGAACTCTTTCACAGTCTCCTGTGCATACTATTATATTTAGTCCAAAAGTACTAGGTTTATTTATTTAATTATGATCGGCACCGTGGCCGCCGCTCTTTTCGATTCAAAAATGTGCAAATAATCAAAGCGAAGTTATTTTTAGTCGATGTCCAAATCCAACCAGGTGGGGCGGGGTTTTGAGGGGGGAAGCCCGCCTTATCGCGATATTTGTGTCTCCTCGCAACAGGGGAAATACATATACACATTTCATTCGACTCGACCCCTTCCAAAAATTAACACAATTGCATGGTGGAACGCGATAAGATACATATACAAACATATGTAAATACATATGTATTTGAAATGATGGAAAAATAATCATTAAGTGGGCAAGTATCTAATGTACATTTACAAAAGTCATTCAAGTATTTTCTTTCCAGATCATTATACCCTTGCAGAGGGTATTATAATTTCAGTCAAAAGTTTGCAACGCAGTGAAGGAGACATTTCCGACCCTATAAAGTATATATATTCTTGATCAGCATCACCAGAAGAGTCGATCTAGCCATGTCCGTCTGTCCGTCCGTCTGTCCGTCCGTCTGTCCGTCCGTTTCTACGCAAACTAGTCCCTCAGTTTTAAAGCTATCTGCTTGAAACTTTCCCAAAAGTTGTCTTTCTATTGCAGGTAGTATATAAGTCGGAACGAGCCGGATCGGGCCACTATATCATATAGCTGCCATATAACTGAACGATCGGAAAAGCCATAACTTTGGTGTTTTTAAAGTTGGGAAGTTGGGATTTTCTATGGGTTTTATTTTTGGCTAATCAATCCGACCTACCAAATTTCATAAGGATCGGACGACTATATCCTATAGCCGCCATATAACTGATTGATCGGAAATGCCATAGCTTTGGTGTTTGTAAAGTTAGGAAGTTGGGATTTTCTATGGGTTTTATTTTTGGCCAATCAATCCGACCTACCAAATTTCATAAGGATCGGCCGACTATATCTTATAGCTGCCATATAACTGAACGATTGGAAATGACATAACTTTGGTGTTTTTAAAGTTAGGAAGTTGGGACATTTTATGAGTATTAAGAATACATCATATGAATAATTTTGGACAATATAATTTATAAAATATTCTGCAAGGGTATATCAACTTCGGCTCCGCCCGAAGTTAGCTTTCCTTTCTTGTTTTTTAATTTATATCCTCAGAAACAGAAAATATATTATATCAGAAGGGCGTTTTATCTGTAACATATCAGAATCACAATTTGAAAAGATACACGTTAAGTTAAGGGAATAATAATAGGTAGAATATTATAATTATATATATAACCACGATCTACAACAATATGCCTTTGGTAACAACATAAATGTAAGATTCCGTGGCAATACAAACCAATTCGTGCGGAAGTTTGAAATACTTTTATTTTTAGGGTAAATTATCGAATTAATTTGATAAACTAGTGTAGTCTATAGCAATAAATAGATTAATAAATTATTATAAAAAAATCAAAGTAAACCAATAAGTAGAAGTTTTGTTTGTTTTTTTTCATTTTTCTTTCTTTTACGAATATTTTAAAAACCAGTTCAATTCCACCTTATTATTAAGTTAGCAGAACAGATCAGAAACCAAGAGAAACAAATCAACCCAGATCAACGGCAAATTCTTAGTAAAAACGGTTTAGGAAAAATTTTAATATTTGTTACCCCTGTAATCTTAGTTTGTAAGGCATCTGCTACCCTAAAAGTATATTTTTCGCCGTTGTTATCTAATATAATGTTTTGTCCCATTTTTGAACCAATATCTTAAGTTTTTTCAAAATCGGATGTTTATATTCTATAGGCGTTATATATCTTCCCCACTGGGGGTTATGTATTATGTTTTTATATGTTTTTATCCATCCATTGGGTTGACTATACCCTATATCTGTCATCGAAGTTTTATTAATTTTCGGTAAGAAAATTAAGGGTATTAAAACTTTGGTTGCCTTCTTTATTTTTTTTATTTATTAAAACAAATGCATTTTTACATTAAAGCTTGGAGGGGTTGTAAAGTTGATCGTCCTTACCCAAAATTCATTCAGGACAAAAAATTATTAGTATCACTCATATTTAGGGATCTTTAAATTATTGAACTTGTAACAAAAGTAATTTTTAATTCTGTACAATGATTCTTTATATTATTTCACGGCAGAGTTTACTCTGCTTAACTGATAATGTTCTCTCTCAGCTTTTTACTTGCACTCTCAACTGTGCAAATGCCGGGAAATTCCCGCAACTACAACCAAATTGCCACATAAACAAAGGCGCAAAACGGAACAGAAACAATATACACACAGAAAAAAAGGTCAATATAAAAATCGAGAATAATTCAAATGCGAGATACGAATCGGGTGTACAAAATTCAAGTTTTAAAAACCTCTGCCGATAAATTTTTAAATTTTTATTTTTTAAACAGCACATTGAATTGTTAAAAATATTGATTTGACATTTGGTACATCTGTCATCAGGTCAAAAATTATAAAAATCAAATGTATGATCATCATATGTATATTTTATAAATTGTTTCTTTATGTATAACACAGGTGCATGTGCACATTTTGTGAACTTGTTTTCTCAATACGAAAACTAAACCGAAACAACAACAAACAGTGACCGCTTATTGTAATTGATAGTGATAGAAAAACTCAAAGCACACATAGAAAATCAATATTTGCACTTAGCGATTAGAAACGGAGGCGGATGGCCGGCGGGGAGGGGTGTGGGCGGTGGGTGGGGGATGTACCCTAACGTTTCGTTTACATATTTCGAAAAGAATTAAGGCCATGTCGAGGGAGTTTCAGCTGTTATCAACAGGCGGAAATACGTATACGTATATGGTACCATACAGTTACGTGCAGTCTTGCACAGACACTCTCTCGCACACACCCATATGCAGTGCGCGAGTGCGAAAGGGATACGTAGTGACTGTGTTAACGGCACAAGATAAAAACCAGCTAAGTCCAGTGTGGGAGCGAGAGAGAGGGACGGAGAGCGCATAAAACAGGTGACATTGGCAGCTACGCAATAGTAGATAAAAAAAAAACGAGATCGATTTGAAAAGCCAAATGTTGGGAAACTTTGGAGAGCGCCTCCCCTTGAAAAACGCATTCACAACTTGTTGCCCGTGTGTAAATGTGTTTATTTATTGCTTTTATTTGTTTCACTACCTCACGATGATCTTCGTGTGGCTGTGTGTGAGTTGTTTTTGCACATTTAGCTATTTGCACTCTGAGCAGAGCCACCCACACCTGTATAATTTGCATGAGTGTGTGTCAGCGGGAAAAGCAAAAATCAGATATTCGCACGTCGCATCCTTCTTCCTTTTATTGCACTCACCAAATAATTAGAACTCCGTGCACGTTCGTTGATTTTCCTTTGTTGTCCCGCGACCTTTTGTTTGTTTTCAGGCATTCAATATTGTGATTTAAATATTTTGGTGCTTATTCACTATAGCTCTCTTTTCACTTTTCTAGCTCGCTTTCTTCGTTTCCCGTTTTTTCGTTTAGATTTTCTCATGCACTCAGGACTCCACACACTATTAATGCAAATGTTCGGATTTGTTTCAAGTTATTTATTTTATTTTTTTGTCGCACTAAACTTAATTAAACGAATTTTCTCCCGTCTTTCGATCGCGATCACAAAACAGCAGTGTGACCAGAGTTGGGGAGGCCAAAATTATTAAAAGGTTTCGGAAAAATATCACAATATCAAAAACTACTTTACCGATATACCAAAAAAAATATGTAAAATATGTATGTAAAAAAATGATATTTTTATTGATTTGTGTTTTTAAATGATTTTCGTTTTTAACATTCTTCTATTAAAAATAAAGATTAAACTTAACGGTCCGAATAACTGCTCATCAAAAAGATTGAAGGATTTTGAATAATTTTTACAAATTTTGAATAAAATAAGAACGCGCTTTATCTGGTAAAGCCTAGTATCCACTTCGACGTAAACCGTACGCCAGTCATGAGAGAGAGCGAGAGGCAAACAGCTGGCGTTCACTTTTCGTCGGGCCTTTTTTTCACTTCGGTCTCCTGATCGACGAAAAAAATACCAGAAAATTGCATAGCGTTGCCAGTCTGCGGAAATGAACTTTGGGTGAACCCTAGCGGAAAGATTAAAAAATTTAATCTTTTGGCGTGCGCTTCTCACTGAACATTATAAGAAATGGAGGGAAAAACTCAAAAAACTCACAAAAGTCGATTGCAGGTGTTTACATGTGAGGACAAAATAACATTAATACTATCTGGGGTGCCTCTTGTCAGAGCAAAATGTTTTTTAGGTCCAGAATGTACGAAAAAACACAATAAAAGTGCAGCTATGAACTTTAAATTAGCAAATAATTATCATAAAATTGAAAAAAAAACAACTGTTAAATTTAAATTGTATTGTTTTTTAACTTCTTTGTACAGCGGCAGACTTGTCTTGCCAAGGTATTTGATAATATCTTTTAAAGGCTCTTTCCCGCAAATACGATATTTGAATTTTAACTGCTTGTCAACAAACCCAGCTGATTGTCAGTACGACCGTAGCACGCTTAAATCCGATGAACTCTCGAAATTTTGGTCACACTGGAAAGATTAAAGTTTTTACGCTAGCATACTCGTTTGTCGATCTGGATACTAGGCTTAACTATTTTAGAGGTGTGGTATTTTTTTGACATTGCCCAGCTCGCCAGTGTTGAACAGCAGGGCCTCGCTTTAGTGCTGAAAAGCACCTCAATCCTGTTTTTGATTTCCGATTTTAACATTCGAAATTGTTTTTCCTCAATTTTCCACAAATAAAAAATATCGTCAGAAATGAAGAACACGCCAAAGAAGAAGGAGATGTCCCTGCGTTTGAGGGAGTCACGTCGGGAGGAGCAGAAACCGGAGACAAGCCACCAACAGCCGGACGACGACGCAGATTCCGATCTGCCCATTCGGGGTCGTCCATCGAAGAAACTGCTGCTCCAGCAGCAACAGCAGCGACATTACCAAGTAAAGTTGGAACCGGAGATAAAGGCAGTCACGGCTGGAGCCACCGGGACGGCTTCGACCTCTGCTATGACAGCCGTAATGGCCGGAAGTGGAGGACGCATCAAGGCCAGGAGAATGCTTTACAAGAAGAGCGCGGGCAGCGGTGGAGCAGTCCAGAAGGCTCCTGGCGAGTCCTATGTTATGCGTCTGTTTGAACGGAGTTTGGACCTTTCCAAGTACAAGGATGGCACTCCGTTGTACCCCATTTGCCGCGCCTGGATGGCAAATCAGCCCAGGAATCCCGCCGTGGCCGCCTTTCAAACTGATGGATCTTTGGCCGCAGCCAAACGCGAGGACAATGGCGAGGAAATCCTCTCCAGACTGCGCAGTGGCGAGCAAAAAGTGCTCACCCAGTTGCCGCAGCCAAAGCCCACAGATTTGCCCATCATCCCGCCACGTCTGGAGTTCGGTCAGGAGGACAGGCAACGGGAGAAGGCTCTTGAGGGAGCCAGTGCCTTCGATTTGCTGGCCTCCAATGTGGCCCGCTGGAAAAAGGTGCGCGGCCATTGGCTAAAGCATGCCCAGAAGTACGAGCAAGAGCGGTATGAGGTTATTGACCAGATTATGGACGTGGTATGCAAGAACTGAGAAGACAGAACGGGAATCGGGAATCATTAATAAAGAGGGAACGGAAAATGACCAGGACCGAATATCACAAAGGAATCTAGGATCAATATAGAGGTTGATCCTGTCACCATTGACTTGAATAAATGTTTATTACGTATAAAATGACTTTAAATTTTATATGTTTAATAAAATTTTATTTTCAAAATAGATTTTGTGAAAATTCTTTTGCTTATGACAAATTTTTTAGGAAGAGTTTACAGTTTTACAGTTTACAAGCTTAGTATCTGAGTTCCAAGCCTTAATTGAATCGATTTAAAATTTTAAGAAAATAATTTTATAATAAAATCATATTTAAAAAGCTGCTTATCCGATGTACATATATCCACGAGTGGAAGTGCTCTGCAAGAATTCAAGCAGAATCGAGTATCATCAGTACTAAAAGATTTCAAGGGCCCAAAAAGATATTACAGAATGATTGGAAAACACGTTTGTTTGTCATTGACTTGAATAAATGTTTATTTGTATGCGTAGAAGATGCGTTCCCATTGCGGTTAAATTAGTTCTAGTTTAGAGCTGGGTTTTGAGTTATCTTTTTTGGGTTGGCAAATGCTGCTGGATTGTTCTGGTTCCGATTTTGGTGTTCTTCGGCTCAGCGTCCGTGCGCCGGTCCGCAACCCCGCGACTTTTGGGGGTATACACAAAAGGCGGCCTCCTCGCTTAATCGACCTTGAGCAGCTCCACGTCGAAGGTGAGGGTGGAGTTGGGCGGGATGACGCCGGGGTGGCCGCGACTGCCGTATGCGTAGTCCGGCGAGCAGATCAACTTGGCGCGCTGGCCGACGCTCAACTGGGCGACTCCCTCGTCCCAGCCGCGGATGACCTCGCCCTTGCCAATGGTGAATTTGAAGGGCTTGTTGCGGTCGCGCGACGAGTCGAACTGGGTGTAAAGGTAACCTTCTGTTAGCTTGGTGTTCCTGTGACTGAAAATAGTACCTACCTTAGTGCCATCGTCCAGGGTGCCGGTGTAGTGGACCGTGACCTTTTGCCCATTCTTAGGGAAGGTGCTGCCTGCGGTTAGGGAATATAATATCGGATATGTGTGAGCGAGACGACTATATTGTTACGGGTAATTTTCCGACTTTTGCGAAGCGACTATGCACTTCTTAACTTAGAACTGCCAGCATTTACCGGCTTTTTGGATGATTTCTTATCCCTAGCATTGTACTCACCATCACCAGGAGCAATTGGAACCACTTGTACGCCCATTTCGATTAGTTTTCTCTGGTAAAATACCGAGCGGAAAATAAGCACGTTGATTTCTGGTCGTCGCGTCGCCAAATGACAGCTAGTGGTGGCCGATATTCAGTTGGTGAAAACTATCGATTAAGGGTGACCCTGAAGCATGTAAGTACGATTAATAGCCCGGTTTCCTTTTCAAAATTTTTTCACATTTCAAATGTTGACGACTGCATGACAAATGTACAATGGCAGCGGATATGTATGTGGTACCACTTTGTTTTGAATTCGAATAATAATAATAATTTTGAAACAAGTATTTGGGCGCCCATTTTTTAAAACACGCAATGTTTTGAGCGACCCAAAAATAATAATAATTATTAATAAAGATGCTTAAAAGTAAACATAGCGTTTTGTCTTGCGGTTGAGTTGGACAGTATAGATTAAATTAGATTATTAAGTGTTAAGATTTCTAACACTTATTGTTAGTATTTCTAAGGAGAAGATTCCACAAGAAAGAAAAGTTTCATCTTAATAGTTTTAGAACTGAGGGACCAGTTTCCGTAGAAACGGCTAGATCGACTCGCCTGGAGTCATCAAGAATATATATACTTTTTAGTCACTGCGTGGCAAGCTTTTGATTGAAATTGTAATACTCTCTGCAAGGCTTACAAAATATAGTCCACTTATTTGTGTATTGCAGTTAAATAAATATGCATACAAACTACATATGTACATATGTAATCAAACGAAACTATGGAGGAACCACGCAACAACTATTTTATACCGACTAAAAATATAATCTAATAATGCAATATAATGCCATTATACAGAGAGCCCGAAAAAACAAATGGAGTTGATATTTTATTTTTATTTTATATTTACAGATTGAGAACGATTTAAGAAAGTAGAGAAACATTCACGTCCTAACTTTAAACATTTCTTAAATTTTTTCTTGTATTTGGATTATCTGCACATCAGCGAGTTGGAAGACTAATATCCCTTTCTCTGAATAATTGTCTCTGTTATCGCTGGTTTTAAATTTGTAAGTTTGTAACATTTTTTGATCAACTTTTTAGTGTTAATATTGTAATTACCTATTTGTATGTATTGAAGAAACCGTCTCTACCCTTTTAACTATCCAATTACCAAATAACTTTCCGATAGATTTCAGAATTCGTTTTCTCGAGAGCCTGAGTGCAAACGATCGTCTCTTTACGAGACTGCTGGGCCGGGCTACTGACCATGTAGGAGAATCGGAATCCCTGATACTCAAAACCGTGGCAGGCCACTGCATACGTGCCCAAGCGATCTACGGCAATAACGGCTCCTTGGAATCTCTCTACATGCTTCCGTATTCGCTGCAGGACAAACTCGACCGCCTCTGCCGGCGTCTTGCCAGCCCGCATGGCCTCCACTGCGAGGAGCGAAGGCAGAAAGCGCATCAGGGTGTCGCCATCTCCGGTGGTCACAGCAGCACCCACCTCGTTGTCGGCGTAGGAACTGGCACCAGGAATCGGGGCGTCCCCAACACGTCCGGGCATCGTATATCGTAATCCATTGGTGGAAGTCCCCACGTGGATATTGCTCTCCTCATCGATGGCGACCATGGTGATAGTGTCGTGGTTATCAGGCCCTATCTCGGTCTCGACATCCCGATTAGCATCCGCGTCCCATGAAGGCAGGGGCTCGTAGGGACCGCATGAGGACTTGGGATCCGGAAAGACATTTCGCCAGTAGTTAGGCTGGCAATTCTTTGTATCTCGCCACTCTCGCCACTCTTTTGTAGATTCGGGAGTGTTCAGTGACTCGTTCTGGAATCCCATGGCATTGGCGAAATCCGCAGCTGCGTCTCCCACCAACAGAACGTGCCCCGTGTGCTCCAGGACATGACGCGCCACCTTGATGGCACTCCTGATCCGCCGCAGATCCGCCACAGCACCCACCTCCATTGTGCTTCCATCCATGAGCAGGGCGTCCAACGAGGTGTCTCCCCGCTCGTCGGGACTGCCACCGTAGCCAACTGCCTTGTCACACTGCTGTATCTCGCACTCTGAGATCCCGCCCACCACGGCATTCCTCGTCTGTCCAAGACCACCCTTCCTCAGGTTGAGCAGTCGCCAGGCCTCCTCGTTGGCGACTGCAAAGGGCCAGGTGTTGATAACCATTGGCAGGAGCTGACCAGTGGGTCTCTGTCCAGACCTCGTCACGTTTGAAGTAGTTTTTGCACTATAAAAAGTGGTTTTAGAAATATAGCACTTCTGACTTTATATCCTTACCCAACAACCGATGCCAGCCAAAGGACTGTTAAAAATGTTGCCACGTACTTTTTCATAGTTTTTTTTATTATAATCGAAATAACTAGAAACTATTTACAGAAACTGACACAGTGAAACTGAGCGTTTCCGTTCGTGGCTCCTGCTTTTATAGGCCGTTTAATCAGAGGTTTTGAATATAAGCACTGTCCAAAACATAATTTTTAAAAATTTGAAATGTAAGTAAGTTCAAGCTTAAGATTAAAGCCTATTCAATATTTACATGAATACAAAAAAAATTTTATAGATAATTATGTTCTTTTCGAGTAATAATGAAAGGCAAATCTGTCATAAATTATGGACATCTTTCTATTGATAATTTGGTTTTTTAAATATGAAATTTATTAAAATATTAAGCTCAGTGTAGAACATAATAATATGTTAGACACTCCAGATAAGAAAAAGGTCACTGACAATGTGAACGTCCCCTTCATTGGCTTCTGCTCTTACAGGTCTCCAATCAAAAGTTTTCAATATAAGCACGCAAAGAAATTTCTTAGTTAATAATTAAACAAATTTGTTTAATACAATTGATACCGTAAACTCCATTTAAGTAGAAAATTCAGTAGTATTAAATATTTAAATAAAAACAAAACAAATTTAATAAGCAAAAAACTTTAAAACAAATAATTTGTAATTAAGTAACAAAAATAACGTTACGTTTACGTAAAAGTAATAAAAAAAAAGTTGACAGTCGATGTAACGATGTAAGGGGTTGAGTTTCAAGTTTATCTACTATTTGGCCATTTCCAGTTTCAATATCCTTGCAGAGGGTATTAAATTTAAAAGCAAAACAATGAAGGAGACGTCTCTAAGCAAATGTTTTGAGCATATTTTTTTCGGGATGTCCACTGACCATGCCAATAATTTTTACCGGCCTTATCGTATATATTTTCTATTTAAATGTTGTTTATTTTTATTACATTGTTTTCTACCACAATGTAAAATGTTAAGCTTAGTGTAGATTATGCTGTAAAACACACAAGCGCGCCATGCCAATTAGTTATACCCGTTACTCGTAGAGTAAAAGGGTATATTGTATTCGTGCAAACGTATGTAACAGGTAGAAGGAAGCGTTTCCGACCCTATAAAGTATATATATTCTTGTTCAGGATCACTAGCCGAGTCGATCTAGCCATGTCCGGCTGTCCGTCTGTCTGTCCGTATGAACGCTGAGATCTCGGAAACTATAAAATCTAGAAGATTGGCATTTTGCATGTAGATTTTAGGAGTTCCTACGCAGCGCAAGTTTGTTTCAAAATGGTGCCACGCCCCCTCTGACGCCCACAAGCGACAAGCTGTGGCCACAGTTTTGATTCTATTATGAAAATTTTAATTGATATGTATTTGTTTCGTCAATACCTATGGATTGGCCTAATAAAAGTTTGCCACGCCCACTCTAACGCCCAAAAACCCATTAAACGCTTAAGCCTGGCTAGCGCCTACATTTCCGCCTTTCATTTCGCAATACAATAGCGCCATCTAACGGATGACTTTGGAACAGATGGCCAAGGTGCTAATTCGAGCGGCGAAAAACATACAAGAAGGCATATTTATATTAAGTTGTTTAGCTGAGTAACGGGTATCTAATAGTCGAGGCACTCGACTATAGCGTTCTCTCTTGTTTTAGATTAGTTTCCGAAAAATCAAATAATTCATTTAATGAGTTGTCAAATTTGAAACTGTAATATATTGTGACCTTAAGACCCGATCTCATTATTTGTTTCACGCGATTAAAATATTTGTGAGACGGAGACCCTATAAAGTCGTGAGTTGATCAGCACCACTGGGCAAGTCGAGATAAGTCCTCGTATGTGAGCTTGTCTCGTTTTTTTGAAGTTGATACGAATCAGAAAACTGTTGCTTTCGTATATATCCACGCCATAATTTCCTTTCTGATAAAACACGTGTTATGCGTTTATAAAAACATTTATTTTAAATGTTTAATCATTTAATTCTTTAACTTAGGGTGTTTTTCGATAACTTAAATACAAATTTGTCTTTTGATTTATATGACTAGTCTTAATTTTGTATATTCTTTGGCTTAAGTGTAAATGTAACTGTTAACATGTGAAGCTAAATATGTCACACTGTGTTAGGATAGTCCTGATCAGCAGTGATATACAGTCTTTATACCCTTGCAGAGGGTATTATAATTATACCCTTGCAGAGGGTATTATAATTTTGGTCAAAAGTGTGCAACGCAGTGAAGGAGACATCTCCGACCCTATAAAGTATATATATTCTTGATCAGGATCACCTCCTGAGTTGATATAGCCATGTCCGTCTGTCCGTCTGTCTGTCCGTCTGTCCATCTATCTGTTTCTACGCAAACTAGTCTCTCAGTTTTAAAGATATCGAATTGAAACTTTGCACACACCCTTCTTTCCTTTGCACGCAGTATATAAGTCGGGATCGGGCGACTACATCCTATAGCTGCCATACAACTGATTGATCGGAAATGCCATAACTTTGATGTTTGTAAAGTTAGGAAGGGATTTTCTTTCTTTCCTTTCTTGTTTTTATTTTGGTATTGCTAAATGGGCTCATTAATTAAGGAATAAATGAGGCGATGAAAGAAAATTGACAAATATGAAAATATATGCAACTAAATGCATATTTGGCTTTGAATTACTATTCAAATTAAACCCAGCGCGTATTCTTTGGTATTAACATATCTTTATCGCATTTAAAGAAAAGCATTGGTAAGGATTCCAAGCCGCAGAAATATGGCAACAAAATCTTGGACATGGCCATATAGACTCTCCTGGTGATGCTGATCAAGAATATATGTACTTTATAAGGTCGGATATGTCTCCTTCACTGCGTTGCAAAACTTTGACTTAAATAATAATACCCTCTCAAAGGTTAAAAAATTTCAATTAAAATATATGTTTTTATTAAGGCATAACATGTGTCTCACGAGAATTAAAAATTTTTGATTACGGTCAGTAGACATGACAGCTATTAAAAATTAATCAATTGAAAAAAACGAGACATGTTCCAAAAAAGTAATCTGGCTTTTAAACAGACGAATACACAGACGAAGACATGATTCGACTTCCTGAGTGGGATCAGCACACGACTTTATAGGGTCAAAATTGTCTCCTCACAAATATTTAAATCACGTGCAACAATTTCGGATCCCGAACGCCATTGTCATGTGGTTTTTGTGTTTTACAGTATATAATCTACACTAAGCTTATCGTTTTACAGTGTGGCAAAAAAAATGTATTATTTAAATTTAAAGGGAAAATATATATACGGTAAGGGGTTTGGTTTGGGCAATTTTTTAAAATGGCCAGCTTACATCCCGAAAAGAGTAACCTAAAAAGTGAACATTTTAACTCCAATTTAGGGAAAATGTCCCAAAAAGAGTGTCAAGACCATTTATAACCTTAAGCCTTACGCCTTAAGGACCCTAAAGCAGTTACCAAAATTAAACATTCCATCGTTACATTTTTCGATCAATCCTATTGCAGCTATATGCTTTCGTCAGATTTTCATAAAATTAAAACAGTATTTCTTAAACCATCAAAAATAACTATATCTCGGAGTACATTTGTTAATTATAACAACAACGACGATATAATTGTTTTCCCTGTATTTTTCAGAATGTTCTAATGGAAGCCCGTTCCGACTTATATACACCTGCAATAGAAATACCACCTTTAAAAGAATTTAGTTTGCGTAGGAACGAACAGAGAAACAAAAGTAATATGTTAATATAATAATAATATAATATTCATTGCCTAAACACACAACTTAAACTCCATTTAACTCCATTACGGAACCAAATGTATTAAAAAAAAGTAAATTAAATTGATTAGCCATGAAATTTCTTTGCGTGATTAAAATGAAAACCTTTAATTGGCGACTTATAAAATCAGTACTCCAAAAAAGCACATTGGCAATGACCTTTTGCTTATCTGGAATGTCTGGGCCTATATTTGTGTTCTACACTCGAATTAATATGTTAAAATATTTCATATTTTAAAAACAAAGGTATCAATAAAAAGAGGTACATAGTTTTGCACAGCTTTGCCTTTCATTATCACTGGAAAAGAATTATCTATGCACTGAACTAAAATACATTTTTTTTTATTTTTTTATTTTTTCTCTACATATGTATATTTTTTAGTAGGCTTCAATCTTAAATTTAAACTAATTTTAATTTTTTTTAGTGTTTATATTCAAAACCTCTGATTAAACGGCCTATAAAAGCAGGAGCCACGAACGGAAACGCTCAGTTTCACTGTGTCAGTTTCTGTAAATAGTTTCTAGTTATTTCGATTATAATAAAAAAAACTATGAAAAAGTACGTGGCAACATTTTTAACAGTCCTTTGGCTGGCATCGGTTGTTGGGTAAGGATATAAAGTCAGAAGTGCTATATTTCTAAAACCACTTTTTATAGTGCAAAAACTACTTCAAACGTGACGAGGTCTGGACAGAGACCCACTGGTCAGCTCCTGCCAATGGTTATCAACACCTGGCCCTTTGCAGTCGCCAACGAGGAGGCCTGGCGACTGCTCAACCTGAGGAAGGGTGGTCTTGGACAGACGAGGAATGCCGTGGTGGGCGGGATCTCAGAGTGCGAGATACAGCAGTGTGACAAGGCAGTTGGCTACGGTGGCAGTCCCGACGAGCGGGGAGACACCTCGTTGGACGCCCTGCTCATGGATGGAAGCACAATGGAGGTGGGTGCTGTGGCGGATCTGCGGCGGATCAGGAGTGCCATCAAGGTGGCGCGTCATGTCCTGGAGCACACGGGGCACGTTCTGTTGGTGGGAGACGCAGCTGCGGATTTCGCCAATGCCATGGGATTCCAGAACGAGTCACTGAACACTCCCGAATCTACAAAAGAGTGGCGAGAGTGGCGAGATACAAAGAATTGCCAGCCTAACTACTGGCGAAATGTCTTTCCGGATCCCAAGTCCTCATGCGGTCCCTACGAGCCCCTGCCTTCATGGGACGCGGATGCTAATCGGGATGTCGAGACCGAGATAGGGCCTGATAACCACGACACTATCACCATGGTCGCCATCGATGAGGAGAGCAATATCCACGTGGGGACTTCCACCAATGGATTACGATATACGATGCCCGGACGTGTTGGGGACGCCCCGATTCCTGGTGCCAGTTCCTACGCCGACAACGAGGTGGGTGCTGCTGTGACCACCGGAGATGGCGACACCCTGATGCGCTTTCTGCCTTCGCTCCTCGCAGTGGAGGCCATGCGGGCTGGCAAGACGCCGGCAGAGGCGGTCGAGTTTGTCCTGCAGCGAATACGGAAGCATGTAGAGAGATTCCAAGGAGCCGTTATTGCCGTAGATCGCTTGGGCACGTATGCAGTGGCCTGCCACGGTTTTGAGTATCAGGAATTCCGATTCTCCTACATGGTCAGTAGCCCGGCCCAGCAGTCTCGTAAAGAGACGATCGTTTGCACTCAGGCTCTCGAGAAAACTAATTCTGAAATCTATCGGAAAGTTGTTTGGTAATTGGATTGTTGAAAAGGTAGTAGGTTTTCTCAATACGTACAAATAGGTAATTACATTATTAACACTAACAAGAAAGGTAGCAAAGGTATTACAAAACGACAACATTTCGATTTCATTGCTGATATTACTAAAAACAATGAAGCTACATACATACAGTTGCGAAAAAAATAATAGCACCACTACATCGCGCTGCTTTCTTTGTAAAAAAAAGTTAGTTTGCTGTTGTTGTTTTTTTTCAAAATAATTTTTTTTTTAAGGTTTAGTATTGCTCTTGTGTAAAACTAAGTTTCCGTTTTTATTAATCCCACCTACATATTTTATTTTTAGTTTTGTACTAAAAAATTCAGAAAAACAGCGAAAAAAAAAATAGCACCACTTACAAGTTACTTAGATAATATCTTATATTTCGCCCAACAGCCTTAATAGAAAGTACCTGCTAATAAGATTGAACTATTTTATAACTATTTTGTTAAAAAAAAATTAAAAACAACATTAAAATGGGACGGGAAAACACTGCACTGCAAAAAAGTGTAAACTTCCTAAAAAATTGATTTTGGAAGGAAATTCTTACATAAAAGTTGGTCGATTGGTAGGATGCTCCAATTAAATGATTAGGAACGACATAAATCATAAAAAAAAATCCAAAACACGTGGAAGAAATCGATCTGTAACACTTTGACATGCCAAAAGGTTGATTCATGAGAGTAAGAAGGATCTTTTCAAGTCTGCTACTGAGCTTAAAATGGAGCCTAAAATTAATGCGACAGATGAAACAGTTCGCAAGTGTCTCAGACAACATAACTTAAAAGCCTGCAGTCCCAGAAAGGTTACCACTTTTAAATGCCAGGCATATTGCTAAGCGCATGAAGTTTGCAAAGAAAAGGTAATTGGCTACTTCAAAAATGGAGGAATATCTTATGGTCAGAAGAGAGTAAGTTCGTTTTAATGGTGGAAAAGGATCTCGATCGTACGTCAGGCGTCCCAAAAACTCTGATTTTATACCGCAGTACACCACAAAGACCATAAAACATGGAGGGAGTAGTCTGATGGTATGGGCCTGTTTCTCCTATTATGGAGTACAATCCAATACATTGGATTAAAACCATACTGGATCAGGACGTGTACGTAAATATTTTGGATACGATTATGCAACCCTTTGCAGAGTATGAACTGACACTCGTATGGGTCTTCCAACAAGATAATGACCCCAAACATACCAGCAGATAGGCAAAGGATTGGTTCGGAAGAAACTCTGTCAATGTGTTGGAGTGGCCTGCGCATTCGCCAATAGAAAAACTGTGGTCCGATGTCAAGAAGGCAGTTGCTGGATCCAAGCCAACCACCGTAAGATCACTTTGGAAAGGAGTGGAGGTGTCTTGGACCCATATTCCCACTAAACGGTGCCAGGACTTGGTTGAATCCATGCCAAGACGTTGTGAGGCTGTTCTTGCCAATAATGGATGCACAACCAAATATTAAACAAGAAAGGAAAGCTAACATCGGGCGGAGCCGAAGTTGAAATACCCTTGCAGAATATTCTGCAAATTATATTCTCCAAAATTATTCATATGATGCATTTTTAATACTCATAAAAAATCCCACCTTCCTAACTTTAAAAACACCAAAGTTATTTCATTTTCGATCAATCAGTTATATGGCAGCTATAGGATATAGTCGGCCGATCCTTATGAAATTTAATATGTCGAATTGATTGGGCAAAAATAAAACCCATAGAAAATCCCAACTTCCTAACTTTACAAACACCAAAGTTATGGCATTTCCGATCAATCAGTTATATAGCAGCTATAAGATATAGTCGGCCGATCCTTATGAAATTTGGTAGGTCAGATTGATTGGCCAAATATAAAACCCATAGAAAATTCCAACTTCCTAACTTTACAAACACCAAAGTTATGGCATTTCCGATCAATCAGTTATATAGCAGCTATAGGATATAGTCGGCCGATCCTTATGAAATTTGGTACGTCGGATTGATTGGCCAAATATAGAACCCACAGAAAGTCCCAACTTCCTAACTTAACAAACAGCAGAGTTATGGCATTTCCGATCAATCAGTTATATGGCAGCTATAGGATATAGTCGGCCGATCCCGGCCGTTCCGACTTATATACTGCGTGCAAAGGAAAGAAGGGTGTGTGCAAAGTTTCAACTCGATAGCTTTAAAACTGAGAGACTAGTTTGCGTAGAAACAGACAGACGGACAGACGGACAGACGGACATGGCTATATCAACTCAGGAGGTGATCCTGATCAAGAATATATATACTTTATAGGGTCGGAGATGTCTCCTTCACTGCGTTGCACACTTTTGACCAAAATTATAATACCCTCTGCAAGGGTATAATTATAATACCCTCTGCAAGGGTATAAAGACTGTAAATCACTGCTGATCAGGACTATCCTAACACAGTGTGACATATTTAGCTTCACATGTTAACAGTTACATTTACTCTTAAGCCAAAGAATATACAAAATTAAGACTAGTCATATAAATCAAAAGACAAATTTGTATTTAAGTTATCGAAAAACACCCTAAGTTAAAGAATTAAATGATTAAACATTTAAAATAAATGTTTTTATAAACGCATAACACGTGTTTTATCAGAAAGGAAATTATGGCGTGGATATATACGAAAGCAACAGTTTTCTGATTCGTATCAACTTCAAAAAAAGCGAGACAAGCTCACATACGAGGACTTATCTCGACTTGCCCAGTGGTGCTGATCAACTCACGACTTTATAGGGTCTCCGTCTCACAAATATTTTAATCGCGTGAAACAAATAATGAGATCGGGTCTTAAGGTCACAATATATTACAGTTTCAAATTTGACAACTCATTAAATGAATTATTTGATTTTTCGGAAACTAATCTAAAACAAGAGAGAACGCTATAGTCGAGTGCCTCGACTATTAGATACCCGTTACTCAGCTAAACAACTTAATATAAATATGCCTTCTTGTATGTTTTTCGCCGCTCGAATTAGCACCTTGGCCATCTGTTCCAAAGTCATCCGTTAGATGGCGCTATTGTATTGCGAAATGAAAGGCGGAAATGTAGGCGCTAGCCAGGCTTAAGCGTTTAATGGGTTTTTGGGCGTTAGAGTGGGCGTGGCAAACTTTTATTAGGCCAATCCATAGGTATTGACGAAACAAATACATATCAATTAAAATTTTCATAATAGAATCAAAACTGTGGCCACAGCTTGTCGCTTGTGGGCGTCAGAGGGGGCGTGGCACCATTTTGAAACAAACTTGCGCTGCGTAGGAACTCCTAAAATCTACATGCAAAATGCCAATCTTCTAGATTTTATAGTTTCCGAGATCTCAGCGTTCATACGGACAGACAGACGGACAGCCGGACATGGCTAGATCGACTCGGCTAGTGATCCTGAACAAGAATATATATACTTTATAGGGTCGGAAACGCTTCCTTCTACCTGTTACATACGTTTTACTCTACGAGTAACGGGTATAACTAATTGGCATGGCGCGCTTGTGTGTTTTACAGCATAATCTACACTAAGCTTAACATTTTACATTGTGGTAGAAAACAATGTAATAAATATAAACAACATTTAAATAGGAAATATATACGATAAGGCCGGTAAAAATTATTGGCATGGTCAGTGGACATCCCGAAAAAAATATGCTCAAAACATTTGCTTAGAGACGTCTCCTTCATTGTTTTGCTTTTAAATTATAATACCCTCTGCAAGGATATTGAAACTGGAAATGGCCAAATAGTAGATAAACTTGAAACTCAACCACTTACATCGTTACATCGACTGTCAACTTTTTATACCCGTTACTCGTAGAGTAAAAGGGTATATTGTATTCGTGCAAAAGTATGTAACAGCTAGAAGGAAGCGTTTCCGACCCTATAAAGTATATATATTCTTGATCAGGGTCACTAGCCGAGTCGATATAGCCATGTCCGTCTGTCCGTCTGTCCGTCTGTCCGTCTGTCCGTCTGTCTGTCTGTCTGTCCGTATGAACGCTGAGATCTCGGAAACTATAAAAGCTAGAAGATTGGCATTTTGCATGCAGATTCTAGGAGTTCCTACGCAGCGCAAGTTTGTTTCAAAAAGGTGCCACGCCCCCTTTAACGCCCACAATCGCTTATATACGATTTCAAAAATTTAAATATTTCGGAAAAGTAAAAATGCAGTTTTATTGTGTTTATCAATACCTATTGAAATGTAGAAGAAATTTTTCAAATCGGACCATTCGTTAAAAAGTTATGCGTGATCAAAGTTTCTATCTCCATCTCCCTCGCACTCCCTTTACCTGAGTAACGGGTATCTGATAGTCGGGGCACCCGACTATAGCGTTCTCTCTTGTTTTTTATTACTTTTACGTAAACGTAACGTTATTTTTGTTACTTAATTACAAATTATTTGTTTTAAAGTTTTTTGTTTATTAAATTTGTTTTGTTTTTATTTAAATATTTAATACTACTGAATTTTCTACTTAAATGGAGTTTACGGTATCAATTGTATTAAACAAATTTGTTTAATTATTAACTAAGAAATTTCTTTGCGTGCTTATATTGAAAACTTTTGATTGGAGACCTGTAAGAGCAGAAGCCAATGAAGGGGACGTTCACATTGTCAGTGACCTTTTTCTTATCTGGAGTGTCTAACATATTATTATGTTCTACACTGAGCTTAATATTTTAATAAATTTCATATTTAAAAAACCAAATTATCAATAGAAAGATGTCCATAATTTATGACAGATTTGCCTTTCATTATTACTCGAAAAGAACATAATTATCTATAAAATTTTTTTTGTATTCATGTAAATATTGAATAGGCTTTAATCTTAAGCTTGAACTTACTTACATTTCAAATTTTTAAAAATTATGTTTTGGACAGTGCTTATATTCAAAACCTCTGATTAAACGGCCTATAAAAGCAGGAGCCACGAACGGAAACGCTCAGTTTCACTGTGTCAGTTTCTGTAAATAGTTTCTAGTTATTTCGATTATAATAAAAAAAACTATGAAAAAGTACGTGGCAACATTTTTAACAGTCCTTTGGCTGGCATCGGTTGTTGGGTAAGGATATAAAGTCAGAAGTGCTATATTTCTAAAACCACTTTTTATAGTGCAAAAACTACTTCAAACGTGACGAGGTCTGGACAGAGACCCACTGGTCAGCTCCTGCCAATGGTTATCAACACCTGGCCCTTTGCAGTCGCCAACGAGGAGGCCTGGCGACTGCTCAACCTGAGGAAGGGTGGTCTTGGACAGACGAGGAATGCCGTGGTGGGCGGGATCTCAGAGTGCGAGATACAGCAGTGTGACAAGGCAGTTGGCTACGGTGGGAATCCCGACGAGCGGGGAGACACCTCGTTGGACGCCCTGCTCATGGATGGAAGCACAATGGAGGTGGGTGCAGTGGCGGATCTGCGGCGGATCAGGAGCGCCATCAAGGTGGCGCGTCATGTCCTGGAGCACACAGGACATGTTATGTTGGTGGGAGACGCAGCCGCGGATTTCGCCAATGCCATGGGATTCCAGAACGAGTCACTGAACACTCCCGAATCTACAAAAAAGTGGCGAGAGTGGCGGGATACAAAGAATTGCCAGCCTAACTACTGGCGAAATGTCTTTCCGGATCCCAAGTCCTCATGCGGTCCCTACGAGCCCCTGCCTTCATGGGACGCGGATGCTAATCGGGATGTCGAGACCGAGATCGGGCCTGATAACCACGACACTATCACCATGGTCGCCATCGATGAGGAGAGCAATATCCACGTGGGGACTTCCACCAATGGATTACGATATACGATACCCGGACGTGTTGGGGACGCCCCGATTCCTGGTGCCAGTTCCTACGCCGACAACGAGGTGGGTGCCGCAGTGACCAGCGGAGATGGTGACATCCTAATGCGATTTCTGCCCGCGCTCCTCGCAGTGGAAGCCATGCGGGCGGGCAAGACGCCGGCAGAGGCGGTCGAGTTGGTCCTGGAGCGCATCCGGAAGCGTGTAGGGAGTTTCGATGCAGCCGTTATTGCCGTAGATCGCTTGGGCACGTATGCAGTGTCCTGCCGCGGTCTTAAATCCTACGAATCCCGATTCTCCTACATGATTAGTAGCCCGGCCCATCCGGATCACCCAACACGTAAAGAGACGATCGTTTGCACTCAGGAAGTCGAGAACACTAATTCTGAAATCTATCGGAAAGTTGTTTGGTAATTGGATTGTTGAAAAGGTAGTAGGTTTTCTCAATACGTACAAATAGGTAATTACATTATTAACACTAACAAGAAAGGTAGCAAAGGTATTACAAAACGACAACATTTCGATTTCTTTGCTGATATTACTAAAAACAATGAAGCTACATACATACATATGTCAATTTTGCGCTGCATTTTGCCATCGTTTCTATGGCAGATATACTATTTTGACAAAACTAAAAGCGTAACTCTAATACAGTAAATAATTACTATATCGGAATTTTAATAAATAGAAAAGCAGCAAAATATTTTTTTTCTTGCGATCTATATGATATAGATATCTGATTTTAATTAAATTAAAACAATAATTTTATAGTATTTAAATATTACTAAATCCCAAAGAACAATAAAAAAAAAAATTGAAACATACATTAAACATTAAAACATAATTTTATATTATAATTTCAGTCAAAAGTTTGCAACGCTGTGAATTATATATTCTTGATCAGCATCACCAGGAGAGTCGATCTAGCCATGTCCTTCTGTCCGCAATACTGATTAAAGCCTAGTATCCAGATCGACAAACGAGTATGCTAGCGTAAAAACTTTAATCTTTCCAGTGTGACCAAAATTTCGAGAGTTCATCGGATTTAAGCGTGCTACGGTCGTACTGACAATCAGCTGGGTTTGTTGACAAGCAGTTAAAATTCAAATATCGTATTTGCGGGAAAGAGCCTTTAAAAGATATTATCAAATACCTTGGCAAGACAAGTCTGCCGCTGTACAAAGAAGTTAAAAAACAATACAATTTAAATTTAACAGTTGTTTTTTTTTTAATTTTTTGATAATTATTTGCTAATTTAAAGTTCATAGCTGCACTTTTATTGTGTTTTTTCGTACATTCTGGACCTAAAAAACATTTTGCTCTGACAAGAGGCACCCCAGATAGTATTAATGTTATTTTGCAATCGACTTTTGTGAGTTTTTTGAGTTTTTCCCTCCATTTCTTATAATGTTCAGTGAGAAGCGCACGCCAAAAGATTAAATTTTTTAATCTTTCCGCTAGGGTTCACCCAAAGTTCATTTCCGCAGACTGGCAACGCTATGCAATTTTCTGGTATTTTTTTCGTCGATCAGGAGACCGAAGTGAAAAAAAGGCCCGACGAAAAGTGAACGCCAGCTGTTTGCCTCTCGCTCTCTCTCATGACTGGCGTACGGTTTACGTCGAAGTGGATACTAGGCTTAAGAATATACATATATACTTTATAGGGTTGGAAACACAGCGTTTTAAACTTTTGACTAAAATTATAATACCCTCTGCAAGGGTATAAAAACGTTTTCAGGTCATAACAATTCATTGGAATCAATTGCGGAAAAAGTCTGATAAGTTGTCAGATATTCCGTAGCTTAGGGAATACCCTAAATAATAAAATAAATCGTTGAGTGATGCCAGACCGATTAAGTGCTCTGTGGTATATTTTCCAACTTCCACTACGGTCACTCAGTGTTCCCTTCTTCAAAAATATTTACAAAAAAATTGTGGAACTCCGTTATTTAGGGAACTCGCCAGTTTTTTTTGGACTTCCAAAACCTTCTAGGATCGGGAATGATAAGAGGGCCAAGCAGAACTGATTGAGATTGAGGGAAACTGGCGAAATCGCCACCAACGTGTTGTTTGCCCACGAGGGGCACAAATTTACCAACAGGATGAAGGATGCCCCAGCAACGGATCCGGAACCCAGCAGCACTGAAGGACATTGCTCCGTCGAATATGACAATCGTGAGGATCAGAATCCGAATCCGGTAGAGGCTGAGCGAGAGGCGGAAGCCGACGGCGCCAATTGCACCATTTGTGGTGCCGCGAAGGCCTCGGCACTTTTGGATCTGCGCTCCAATCATGAAATGCATCGTCGCCTGAGTCGCGACTGGAAGATCCATGTGAGTACTCCATACACTATCTTACTTTGCTACCAAAGCCAACTACAGAACTTTATTGACTTCTAGGCCGATGTAATCCGCTCCACCTTGAAGGCCATTTGCGTGGAGTGTGTTTGCAAGCTGAAAATGCACTCAGAGGTCACTCGGTCCTTGATGCAACGGATGCAGCGATTGCAGCGTTCCGGAGGAGACTCTACCACGGTGACAACCACTACGACTTCGCCCACCCAGGACAGTCCGCCCATTGCGGATGCGGAAGTGTCCACCACTCTGATAGAGAGCCAGGAAGAGGTGCTTGAAAAGAAACGGAGCATTCGCAGCTCACGTTCATCCTGCTCCGTGCTGGAAGTCTACTTAGCTCAGCAACCGTATTCACCATCGGCCAAGGAGTCGGAAGTGAAGCAGGCGGAGGGTTGGAAATGGCGAACACGTCTGGAGTGCCAGGAATGTGGGCGGGCCTATTTCCGGCGAGATTATTACGCCCAGCACTTGCGACGATGCTCAAGAACGCGCAGGACTCAGCCCCGTCCGCCGCGCGCCAAGTGTCGAGTGCTAAACGAGGCCAGCTATGACAGAGAGGCCTCGTCCAAAGTCAACCGCTCCTCCCGCATCTTCTATTGCCGGCATTGCGACGATGAGTTCGACTCGATGGCCAGTAAAAGGCAACACGAGCGTCTGAAGCATAAACAGCGGTATCCCTGCGATCTGTGCGATGCCCAGTTGGACACCAAGTACGAGTGGGAGCTGCACCACACCATCTGCCAAGCCAAGCAGGAGGTTAGTTCATATTCCAAGAATATTTATTAGCTAGATTTAACCTGCAATCCCTTACAGGCTTTGAAAATCCTTGAGCTGGAGGAATCGGGGCAAGTTGTGCAGTCTTCACTGACGCCAAGGGCACGCTCCATGCGCTCCCGCTCAAGAGCTTGCTCGGAAGCCTGGGATAAGTACAATATGGATGACGAGGAGGAAGACGATGAACATAGCGATGAGGAGGAGCGAGAAGACGGCGAGGACGACCAGGAAGACGCCATGTACACACGCCGCATGAACTTCACTGGTGACTGGATTGTAAACCACAGCCGGAGCAATAGTAACAGTGCCGGGAATCTTTCCCTTCTGTATGATGACTTCGGATTGGTGGAAACGCACATGACCACCGATAAGGAGTACGGTAGGGAATCCTTTGTTTAGGTCACCATTCTGTGTTTATATTCAAGCTATCCATTTACAGACCTGTACCTACTTGACCTGCTCAAAACGCAGGTGCGACTGAAAGCATTCTCGTGCTTTACGCCGGCCTGTGGCTATCAAACGGACACTCTGGTGGCGCTAATGAAGCACGATTACATGGAGCACTGGAAGATGAGTTGGTTCTACTGTCACAAATGCGGCGATGTCTTTACAAGCAAGTAAGTGTGCTAACAGTAGAACATATTAAAATGTAATATTTTCAACGCTAACCAAGTAAATCCCTTTTTTCCGGAGTCTTCTTTAATAGATATTAACGCACTTGTTTTGTCTTGCAGGGTCTTCCTAGACTACCATTTGCATCTCCAGAACCGCGGCCTCTACATCTGCCACAAGTGCCGCGATGAGTTTGACTTGCAGCACCAGTTGGACCGCCACTTTCAGCTCCACAAAAAAGGGATTAACTACCACTGTAATTTCTGCCGGTTGGAGTTTCTTAGCGAGGCCAAGCTGCTAGCCCACTGCAAACTACGAGGTCATAGTCCCAACGATGAACCCCTGATCAGCATTGACCGGTCCCTCTCAATCGTCAACTGCCATGGGTCGCAACCAGTGGACTATTCCCGGATATCCAAGACGTATGAGGAGCGAGAGTTCTATATTCCCAGGGTTTCGAGGGTGAATACGATGCATCCTATTAATTTGCCCAAACATAAACCCTTCCGCTTTGCTATCGGAATCTGCGAGTTCGACGAACGGAATCCGAACTGCGTCGGATGTCACTGAATTCGAGCCAGTCATGGGCTTTGTTCTTTGCCTGCAATACTGACGATTAGATAATTTTATCTAGCACCTTAGTATAATTCAGATTTGTATTTTTTTACAATAAATATTGTACCGATGTCAGAGAAACAATATGATTTTATTTTTGATTCTTCAGTCAGTTTATTTCGCGTTCTTTCGCAGATCTTTACATGATGAAAGTCGGGTGCCTAGGGATAATTTAAATTGCAGTACAATTTGGATTACTTAAATTAGATCTATAATTCGCATGTGTATGTGTGGACTATGATGCTATGTACAAAGTTAATCGTATAACAATTTAAAATTATCGACCGTACGACTATATAGTATTGTATAAGTGTAGGTGTTTATAATTAAAGAGCCTATTGCATTGCCCCCAGCGCATGTTTTCATTTGTTTTGTTTTGTTTGCCTTATAAATAGTTTAGTTGTAGTGTTTAAGTTTAGTTGGTGGCTTAGAACTAATCAATTTGCCTGGAACTTACATCTATTTAACTAAGGATCTCGATTCGTATTTTAGTTTAATTTGTAATATAATTTTAATGCGTGTGCTCTTGCTCGTGGTACGTTTGAGTCGGTATCAGTCTTATAAATTCAACCCAGGACGATTATTATATCTCGCTAACAGGATAACATGAGGCTAACAAAGATACGCTATTTGAGGTAGTTGTGTTCAAGTTTTCATCTGTTCTCTCTTCGCTTCGGAAATGATAAACGTAAGGCCACGTACATGCGTTCCACATACTGGTCGTTATAAATAATCTAGTGCTAATAATTTTTAAAACAAATCACTGGCATTTAACAAAGTTGTACAAGGTGTAGCTAACCCGCTAACCGATTTCAATTGGAGCCTCTACTGCTCTGTCCTTACCCGGCCCACCCATCGCCTTGAGATCCCGCCTTCAGTCTTATGTAAGTCGGTTTACATATATCTTAGTTTGTCAGTTGGCCGGGATCTGGCATGGGTGAGCTTCGAAAGGCCTACAACTAGCTGGTTTCCAAAGATGGCCTTCGAGTGCCTAGCCTAAGATATCTGCAATCTATGCTACCTATTCGTATTCACTAACCTATATCCTAACATTTCTGTTTTTAGGCACAAAGTGATGCTGACAACAATATATTTTAGTGTGTGGGTTTGATTTTGGATGGTTGCCAGGTGCTGGTGCGGATGATTCCCACAACGACTGGGATGAGGTTACTTCGTTTAAAGCTTCACCAACGCTGGTCGGCTCCTGAGTCGCCGATGGTAAGGAAAGTAACACAAGGATGGGTCTAATAAAGGGAATAATAGTTGGAGTTGGAGCTATCGATCTAAGCCTGGCCTACTCCAAGGAGTCGAGGCTGTCCGCGGCATATTGCCAGGCCATGGTGAGCGTCAATCAGTCGGCCCGAGCCTGGGCATCCTCGCCCTCCAGCAACTCCCGCTTCAGGCCCATGGGCACGAACTGCGGCGATGCTGGGTAGTCCTCGTGGTCCTTGCCATTGGCGGACGCACTGCTGGCGTGCATGATCACCCCGGCACCCTCGGCCGGCTGTGGCGAGTAGGGCGACTGTGGGCGCTCCTTCCTGGCCAGCGAGAGGTCCTCCACGTGCTCCTGCTCGTGGTCCTCCTCGTCGTCGGCATCCTCCCGCTCGTCCTGGTCGCGCTCCCTCTTGATCATGTTCTGCTCGTGCTTCTCCATCTCCAGGTCCATGGCCTCCTGGTCGTGCGAGTAGTGGCGTCCCTGCGGACTCGGCGACCGCATGCCATGGCCATTGGAGCGCTGGTCCGTCTCCGCCGGACTGCTCGACAGCCGATTGGCGGCGGCATGGGCGGCCGCGGCCAGAGCCATCGCATGGAGAGCCTCCCGGCCGGCCATGTCGCCGCCCCGGTTCTCCAGAGCCTGCTGCAGGAAGGCGTGATCCAGAAGAGCTGCCGCCGAGGGAGGAATGGTGGGCGGCATGCCGTGGTGGGCGGGCACATGGTCCACCTTCGAGTCACGCTTCACCTCCGAGTGATGGCCATGTCCGTGTCCGTAGTTGTGGGCCGCGGCGGCTGCAGCAGCGGAGTAGGGGAATCCCTGGGAGGATTCGGCGCCCGGAGGACTGCGCTTGGGCGTGCGGTGGGTGCCACGACCTGTGGTGATGTTCAGCTTGCGCACCTTGTCGTAGAGGGTGCGACTGGGCAGGCCGTACTTCCGGCTCGCCTGCAGGGCACTCATGCCCTCCCTCACCGCCTGAATGGCGCACATCATGTCCGCCCGGGTGTACTGCTTGTAGCGCTTCCACTCCGGCTTCTTGCCGCCGGACTGGCCAGTCTCCTCCTCAAAGGAGCGATCCGTGTAGGGCGACAGTGGTTCCTTATCGCCGCCGTAGTCGGATCCATTGAAGCTGTGGTTCCGCTCACCACCACTCACTCCCAATCCGGCTGGGAGTTGTGTGCTCTGGTGTGGATGCGTGGGCGTCTTCTCACCATTGATGATCATTGGTCCGGGTTGCGAGGAATCGGCGGGATTGGCCTGGGCCAGAACGTTTCTCAGGATGGGTGTATCGCGGTTTCCACTCAGTAGCATGCTCGAGATGGCCGACAGCTTCTTGCGCTTGAGAGGATTCATGTCGGCGGCGGATTCGTAGACGGAGTTCAGCATGGCGGCGGCGGCGGACGGTGTCAATGGCCACTGACCACCGGGTTCTCCCGCCCCCGAGGGCGCCGAGTGGGGCGTGGCCTGGGTGGGGGTCAGCGGAACCTCGCCAGCCGGAATTTGACTGGGCGGCAGCTGCTGCGGATAGTGGCTGAAGCCCGGCTGATAGCCGAACTGGGGTGGCGGTGGTGGCGAGCAGCTGCTCGAGATGGCGGCGCTGGGCGAGATGTGTGTGGATGTGGAGATCACGGACGAGGAGTGGTTGGATGCCGAGCCATTCTGGGGCTTGGCTCCGCCAGCTCCCGAACTAGATGTGGGCGTGACGCTGGCATGGCCACCGGAACTGTGGTGGTTGAACTTCATCAGGTTGTCGTACAGACCCTTCACCTGCAGCTCCTTGGCCGTGCGCAGGATCTCCGGCTCCTGGCTCTTGGTCACCGTCGTCTCGCCCGTGTACATGTACTGCAGCAGGGCGGCAATCTCGAAGCCCTTGACTCCCGGCAGGATAATGCTGCAATGGTCCTGCGGCACGTCCTTCAGGATGTGCTGGAAATATGGCGAATTGGCGGCCAGAACCACTCGGTGGGCCTGGAACTGCTCGTCGTCCACCACCAGGGTGCAGTCCACATAGCTGCCCACCTCGTGCAGGGCGTGCAGGATCTGGACAAGGTTGGTCTGGTGGTTGTTCCAGCGGAGGCAGTACGTCTGACCCACCTCGCCGCCGCTGGCCACCGGCGCCGTCGGGCCGCCCATCTCCTGGTCGTGCTCCTCGCGTTCCGCCTCGCGATCCCTGTCCTGCTTGGGATCCCTGGTGCTGTGGTGGCTCACCCTGGAATGGTGGTGGCTCGCTGGCTGGTCGGGCTCCTCGTCCGGAGCGGGATCGCTGCTGCTGCTGCTGTGGTTGTACGCGCCGTTCAGGCTGGTGAAGGCGGCGCTCAGCAGCGTCGGCGAGTAGAAGGATAGGTGCTTCCTGACCTTGAGCGCCAGTTTAAGGCCTACGGATCACCTGGTTGCCTGATTCCCGGAAAAAGAGAGAAAGAGGAAAGAAAATGCCAATTAGTATGAGTTTTTTGCCAGAGCCAAGCGACGAGATTTGGCAAATGTCATTGGGTAGCAGAAGCAAATTCCCAATTTCGCATGGGTTGCTAAAATCAACAGGAAAGACGAACACACACAAAAATGGGGAAATGGAAGCCAGGAAGTCAGGTGTGCAAAATTGGGGATGGTTGCTTCTCCACTTCTCTTTTTTTTTGGCACAAAAAATCTTGCTTGTACAATTTATGCCCTTCGCCACCCCCCGAAGTTTTATGCGCCATAAAAAAGTGAAAGCGAAATGGGGTAGTGGGTGGTGACGAGGAAAACGTGTAGGAAAAATGGGGGAAAAAAATATGCAAACATCCCTCGAAAGATGTGTGCGCGTATTTTTCCGGCTGCTTTTCGCGCGTTTTACTTTTACGCATACATATTCAAATCTATATGTATAATATCAGGCTTTTTTTACCGCCGCCTGGAATCGGGAAATGGAAATGGGAAGGCACGGAAAATAAGGGAAAAACGTAGCTGAAAAACTTGCAATAATTTTCATTCATTTTGTGTACCAAAAGAAGAGTGAGCGGGGGTGAAAGGCAAGCCATATGCCCTTGTCCTTGGCATGACTTCAATTCTAACTCGGGCTGTGGTCGAATTTCAGACTCAAGTGGACGCCATATGCTGGGATCGTGGCGTCATGTGTTGGCCATTCGTCAAGGAGTTCGCATCCCAAAACCCGGCCATGTGTCGTGTGTGAATCTCCAGTTACCAACAGGTAGAGTGCCGCAGAATCCGCAGCCCCAAACGATAATGGCAATCAAACAACAACAGGGAAATGTCAAAGGGGCGAGGCCCCGTAAAAAATAAAGCAGAAGGTATATGGCAAAAAAGAAAAGCGGACAATCAGACAAAGGCGGCAAACAAACGATCGCATTATTGTCTGCGGAAAATGCGCAAGAGATCATCAATTGTTGTCTAGCCATTGTCTCGCCGGCAGGATAATGGGCAACCTGCAGAGATCCCTATCCTGTTCCCACTCCCGATTTTCCCGATTTGCGCAACGTCGAGCAGGTAAGCGGTAAGCGATTTCGGATACTTCGCAATAAGCGCATTAGTTGTGGTTATAATAATGCTATAAAGGGGATGCCTCAATGCCTCGATCGCACATTGCGCATACGCCACGATCGCCAAAAGATCGAAAGCTCCCGAAAAAAGCTTTGGCCAACTTTTGCTAACAGAGCTCGCCAACAACAGCGGCCACCATTTTGTGAAAAAAAACGCTTAATTAAAATTATCACAAACGTCATTGAAACGAATGCACTTGGGAACCGGTTTAGGCTTAGGCTTAGGGTTTCCAGTTTCTATTTTTGTTGTGTCCATTTTTTGGACACGTATCACGCTTAAAAGTTGCGAAATGATAAAAAAAACGTCCGAAATCAAATAGTTTTGGAAGGGCGGC